GAGAGAGAGAGAGAGAGAGAGAGGTTGTGTACAGTGTTCTCACCTCCCACACAGCAGCTACACTCTTTCATAGCTTCATTACTGCTTTGGTAAGATTTCACTCCTGATTACTGGATTAGTTTTAACCATCACACCGTTTTGTGTTCAGACTCACCAGCTCAGCTTGTGTTGGGCCATGTTAAAGCCAAAGGGGCATACCACCCTAAAACTAGAATTTAATATGCTGTGTTGTGTTATGCAGTATTTGGCAGTGCATCCCTCAGCAGCACGTTTAACAGAATAAGTAGTTCTGTATCCTTCATCTGTTTACTGTTTTGCACATATATTCCTCCAATATGCCAAACAACCACTATGAATCCTCCCATGGTGATAAAAATGTAGAGGCTGTTGATTTCTGCAATATAGTCATTAGATCTCACAGCGGTTCTGTCAGTCCACAGAAATTAATTGTGCAAACAATGATAATTTACACATTAACCTTTTTGTTGCCCACCATTTGAACACCATTAAAAAAAGAAATTTGAAAATGAGACTAACAATATCTCAGTTGTGATTGGCCAATAAAACCTCTTTTGTATCTGTGGGTTGGCTGAATAATGACCGTGAATAGCAGCTGGAGGGGGAGGAATTCACTCTCACAGATCTCTGTTGGCAGTAATTACACATTCCAAAGTGGCCCTTTAAACAGGAGAACACACATATGCTTCCACAATGGCACAACCATCAAAGGATCACAAGGTTTGAGGGGGCCTATAGACTAGAGGCTGACGCAGCATCAAAAATGCAGCCCTCCAATGTATTTCAGTTAGGATGCTGCGTCAGTCTGTCGGACGAGAAACGTGTCTGTATGCAGTGAAAAGGCGCATCATCGAGTGTCAAACAAGTTCAAACCATTTCAACTTTCATTGCAACGGATTCTGACTTGGATTCATGTCAACCAACAGAAACGTGCAGGCAGAAGACGGATGAAAATCCAAGATGGAGGACAGCGACGCTGTGCACTCTTTTCCTGTTCTTTATGAATTCTCTTCCTTTGTTGTTCTCTGCTTGGCTCTGTTTATGGCCATCAGCAACATCTTCTTTCAGTGCCCGTCTTTCTTTGTTTCTGGTCTAAATATTTTGTTTGCCGCTGGATTTCGAACTGTGCTCCGCCCCCCTCCAGCCGTGTTCTGGACGGACAGGCTCTGCATGTGTATGCGTCTGCTACTCCATCTTTGTGTCGTCTAGTGTGTGGGCACCCTAATCCTGGCAATGCTGCAACCAAAAATGCTGGTAATTATCAGCACATTATGTCTTTCAGATCCAGACAAAATTGGATTTGTGCTACTTTAACCCTGGAATGTGACCTTTTACAGACTCACGAAAATCTCCACCCAAGAAAATATATATTTTTTTATTTTAATTCGAGGTTTACATCCATTTTCATTCAGGCCTCCAGCTTCCGCCTCTCCAGTAAACATATCTGAAAACCCCTCATACTGTATAAAAGTGTTGGGGTGCGATGAGTCAGCATTTCATCAGAGAGATTGCTGAAACACAGTGGGTCAGCAGTGGGGTTGGGGTGGGCGTAATTAAACCCGTCTCTGTGCACACGCGGAACGCTGAACTGATGAGGTGCATGAATCTGTGGCTGTGACGCCCAGATATCTGCACCGAACCCTTTACTGTGGCTAATAGTGAGAGAAGAAACAGTGTTTCAGTGCTGTGTGCAAAGCCCAGTGCAGCGTTATTATTCCTCTATGCTTTTATTGACGTGGGCTCATTAACCTGTAGGCACAGGCCCGGAGAGTGACCACTCGTCACAGAGGTTTTTTAAGATGCTGAGCTCTGGCTTTCATTTGAGATGGCACCAATATAAAAACCATATTAGATATCAGTAAAAGAACTAATCTGATCCAGAATAGCAAATCGTGAAATGAGGTAAAGTAGGTGCAGGGCTGGGTTTGGTGATTGTGGGGCTCTAGCTCAGGGGTCGGCAACATGCAGCTCTTTTACTGCCCTGTGGCTCCACAGCTGAATTAGGTTTGTAGGTAAAAATAAAATAATCCTCATTTACAGTAAAATAAAGCTCTGCTGATCGTTCAACACAGTTTAACAATAAATGGTCTTAAACTCTGGAGTTAATGTAGAACTGCTAATTCACCCTTTAACCCTGAAGATCAGCGCAGACTGCTGGTCACCATAGCAACACAGACAACAGTTTCGCCTAGATAGTAGCTAACGAAACGGCAAAGAGAGAGATTTAAGACGAACATCGATAATTTAGTGATGAATGGACTTTTTTGTGCTTATAATCACTCCAGCTGGTTTCCTTATATGTTTAATCTGCAACGACAAACTGACACACTAAAAAGTCATGAAGCTGAAGTCAGATTCTCATTCGCCGGCTTCTTGTTCAAATTTTCCTGTTCCACCTTAAATGGTGCAGCAGTTACATTCTGGCACCTCAGGCACCATTTAAAGTTGAATGGGAAAATTTGAACAATAAGCTGGTGAATGAGAAGCTGACATAAGCCTTGTTAGAGACATTTTACAATAAATTATTAAAGTTTCCTGCTGGAGATGTGAGACAAGCGGTCATAGCTGAGCTAAAGATTAAGGGTTTTTTGTAGCTCTTCAACTTTTTAAAACTACTTTAAAGCCAAATCTCCTCCTCCAACCCTGGCTGGATTGTGTGCCTACATGTCTAAAACTGATCTGGAAACAGCACCGATCACCTGATGTTCAAAGCTGGAATGTCACTACTGTTTTTTTTTTCTTCTTTTCTGTGTATTTGTAAGAATCAAAGTCAGACAAATCTAATATTGGTCAAAATATCACAGATTGATTTAATAATCGCTAGAGTTCTATTTAGTGCTAGAAAGCTTTAAACAGATGTTAGGGGAGCATTTACGTTTCCTACAGTACTGTTCTATACAGTGACCCAAAGATAGGAACAGTGTTTAGAGACCATTTCTGTTCTTTAGAACTGTGTTCTATATAATGATTTTATAACATGGGGAACAGAGATTAGCAGCCCTGTATGTTTCCTATGTTAGTGTTTATATAGCGATCTTGATTATTCAGTTTAAGAAAAAGTGATTAGGGGCCATTTTACCCTATAATAGTGTCACACATAGTGATTCTGATTATTCAGTGTGGGGAATAATCAGTGAGGGCCATTTTCAGCCCTATAATACTGTTCTATATAGAGCTCCAATGAAGGGGACCGTGATTAGAGGGCCATATTGTTCTACACAGTGTTACTGATTCTCCAGTGTAGGGAACAGTGATAAAGGGGACCATATCAAACTCGCCTTTGGGGGCTGTACTTCTATTAAATAACCTACATACAATACTAACAGAGAACGTAACAGACACCACACATGCCTCACTGATCAGAGACACCAGACAAAACACTAGTGACCTGAGCTCTGGTACTAATGAAGGAACTGCTGGAGAACCCAACCATAGCAACCCTTCGTTTCTGATTGTGTGTGCGTGCAAAATGCAGAGTCTGGCAGGCGATCAAAAGAGAAATTACTGGACACTCTGTCCATTCTGACCCATACCATCCTTTGGACACACCATTCTGAGACATGCTGGGACACGTTTGGTGTCCCAATATTTTTTTTACAGGGGTCAAATCTTTTTTTTTTGTAAATACATGCCTGAAACATCTCAACCCACTCAAACTTGTATCAGGGTCTCTGACATTGTACAGATGTTATTCTTGAATTTTCCAGCTGAGGAAATATTTATAAATAGGAACAACAGACACTGCTGATGTAATCTGTATCTTATATGCCTGTGTGAAGTGCATACACTCAAAGAGGGGTGCACAGCATCTTTGTTGTCTAAAGTGGTTATAAGTAGACAGTGTCCAGCTACCGGGTACACTCTGTTCATTTTTATAGCTTACAGTAAGTCATACTGTGTCCTGAACCACAACAGCCTCAATGAAGTGGCGCTCTACAGCGCTCATGGGATCCACCTGGTCTCAGCGACAGATCTCAATACACTAGAGGAAGTGTAGGGGGCGATACAGCTTCTGTTGTTTTGCTGCACCATACCATAAGCGCTGTGCATGATGGCAGCGGTAATGGAGAGGAACTGAAGAAGCGTAATGGTCTGATTAGCTGATTAATCGAATAACAGTCAACAGAGTAATCTGTTATAGAAATAACTGCACCCTGCAGAGCTGCAACACGTTTGTCCACCAGGCCATGTCCACGAACACTAACAGCACTGAGAAAGAGCCTCCAGTCATACCAGCAAACAGCAGTTGCTCTGATCCACACACACACACACACACACACACACACACACACACACACACACACGCTATGGAAGGCAGCCATGTTCTCTGCTCTGTTCTCAGTGTGTACAGTGACACACACTCTCTGTGAAATGTGTCTCGGTTACACACACCAGCTTCCTCAGCCACCAGCCCAAACACTGGCAGCCGTGCAGGCCTTCCCACACACCCGCCCCCCCCACCTCATCCAGCATCCCAGCATCCCAGAATCCCAGCATCTACCACACACCCGGCACAAATCAGTGACCTACATACATGTGTGTGTAAGCAAGCAGGTTCTCAGCAGAGATTGCATATATATATATATATATATATATATATATGCTTGCTTACTGCTTGCTATAAGTGAATAAGCAGTTGCTAAGGGCTCCGAGCCACCATGGGGCCCCTGAGTATGTACTGTGTTTAATGTAATTTGTTCTTACACTGGATTTATTAAAAAAAAATAGCAAAATTATTAGATCTTGTTTTAGGCTTGCATACAAAAGGATATTATTGGGTTGGGGGTGGGGCCCGTCATTTAGGGCCCCAAACTGTAACAGAGCCGGCACTGATATGGGTACGAGTCTATAACCTATATATACATATATACATATATATATATATATATATATATATATACACACACACACACACACACACGTCACCCACCCCCGACAAAGAGACATCAGAGCGCTCTGATGCTCTGCAGCTCCACACTTACATTCCAGGTGTTTTTTCTTCGGTCCCATCACCTCGTGGGTGGTGGCCTTGCACACGGCCCTGGCCACCTCAGAGCCGGTCAGGCTGTACTGAGCCGCAGCGATGCGGTCAGTCAGGGTTTGTCCGGACATCTTTAGCCTTTAGAGAGCCCGAGAGCACCAGCACGAGCTTATCCTACTATCCTGCGAGGACCGGGGGGTTGGAGAGGGGGGCTGAGGGGGATGGGGAGACCAACACTCAGGCTTCCGAGACAGTCCGGGTTCCTCTTTCTGTTATAAAGACAAAGTAATCCTTTAATTCTGCCACGGAGAAAAGGATGGAGCGCGCAGGGTCCAGCCCAGTCCGGTCCGGCCCGGTCCAGCCAATCTGCGGTGACCACAAACCTCGGTGCTGATGCGGCGCGTGCAAAGGATGCTATTATCGCTGGTTGTGTAACTCCCACAGCGCGCGCGTTTTTCCTCCTCGCATCCACCACGTTCGCTTCGCTCGTGCGCCCCTTTTCCTTCTCTGCCTTCCTCCCTTCCTGCTCCTCCTCCTCCTCCTCCTCACCTCCTCAACAAACGCTCCTTTTGCCTTCCCATCCACAGCCGCGGAGACTCCTCCTGAGGGATGCTGGACGGATGGCGTTTCTCTCCTCTCTGCGTCTCTCTCTCGCTCCTCCTCTTGCGCGCGTGCGTCACGCTCCGCGTCATTAAAAGCCCCGAGCGCGTCCCGTTTAGTGCGTTGTTTTTGTGTTTTTCTTTTTTTTTTGCTACCCGTTTTCAGGCGGGCCCCACAACGTGATTGGCTGAAACGCTCCCTCCTTCCCCAGGACTGGCTGAACTTATTCTTCCTGAGCTCTGATTGGCTAATAGTGCTTTTCCTGCTGTAGGGACTGGTTAAATCACCCTTACTGAGCTCATACTGGCCGATATGAACCTCTCTATGCTGGGAATGCTGGTCTTGTCCATCCTGTGGCAGGACTGGCTGCTCTGGAAGGCCTGAGATATTTGTACTTAGATAATCGCATTATAATCACTCATTTTATTGTAGTTAGGTGTTTTCTTTCAATCCAGCTGGTTAAATGGTCCTTCTTGTGCTGGGCTAGCAGCACCTGTCCTGCTCCAGGACTGGATAAGACAGGCTAAACTGAAGTGTTAGCATTGGCTAATAGCACACGTCCTTACCCAGGATTGGCGAAATGATCTTTCCCACCCTATGATTGGCTATAATGATCGTTGCTGTCCTATGATTGGCTATAATGATTGTTGCTGTCCTATGATTGGCTATAATGATCTTTGCTATCCTATGATTGGCTAAAATGACCTTTCCTACCCTTTGATTGGCTAAAATGATCTTTGCTACCCTAAGATTGGACTGGCTATTGGGGAATTTTCTAGGGTACTTGCAGTTCCTCATGTATCTACACAATGAAAACAACACAACAGTACAGCACTTAATTAAAGCTCAGATTTATTTCAACAGGTCAGTAGATTCTTAGTGACACTTTTCTCTTTCTGACAGCTTTGCAAGCCACATCGCTTCTCGTATTCTCAGAATGATTTCCATAATTTAAAACGCGATCCATTCAGAACTGCAGGAATGAAATATCAGTGCAAATCCAGTTGGTTAATCGGGGTATCCTGAGGTGTGCTACAAGCTTGCCAAGAGGACTCTCAGAAATATGCTTTAATTTTTAAATGATATGTCTCTTATGCTAATCAGCACAACATGGAATGGTAAAGAAAGTTCACATTATTCAGAAGGCTTACAGTAATGAGTGCAATCACAGCTGCCCTCTAAATACAAATAAAAGTTTAAATTAAATAGTATAGCCTCTGAAAAAAATACAGTAATCATAAATAGAAAAACAAAACCATGTACAAACTTCTGTTTTTTTAATATTTGATCCCTCTTCTTTTTTTTTTCTTTTTTATTTAAAAGGTGAGGTGTTAGTGTTTTTCCACAGGTCAGTTCATGTTTTTTTGTTTTTTTTCGTCCACTGTGCCCAGTCACGTTTTGATGAGTCCTTCCAGGAAATCTTTCTCCACCATCTCCTCAATGTGCTGCCTGGCGCGGCTCCAGAACACTTTCTGGCTCTCGGGTTTGCTGTGTTTGGGCGTGTGTGGTGTGTCTGAGGGGGAGAGGACGGGGCAGGGGCCTGAGCGGCTGCTGGCTTTGCTGCTGAACACCTGGCTGAGGAGCGTGAAGAAGGGCAGGAGCTGCTCCATGCTGCGGATGCCGTACAGCGTTAGGGTCAGCCGACCTGGCTCCCATATCAGCGGGCGGCCAGAACAGTCCTCCTCCGGGTTTTTCTGTAGGGACATTTGTAGTTGTATGAAGTGATCTTATCAAGTAAAACGACCGTACTGTACCAGCAGATCATTCTGCTTGCCTGAACAATGTGAAATAACGGCCAGTAAAATATTAAATAATCAGTAAGATCATTTAACCTAATAAAATGACCTACATTAAGTATAAATATACTCAAAATGATTACATTAGGCAATATTTACAGCAATATCAAAACTAGAAGTATTCCCTACACTTAAGATGCTTTCACTTGCCAAGATATCTCAAAGATACTTGTTTGCAGGGCATTTGTATGTGTGGATTTTTTCTTTTTTGTTTGTTTGTTTATTTTATTTATTTATTTATTTTTCTCTCAGTGAGGACTTCCTGGGTAAATAAAGAATGAATGAATGAAGAATAAATCAATGAATGAATTAATGCAATTTTAGCTCTGTGTTTCTTTCCCTGAACTGTAGTTTTGTGTTTTACTTCTTTAACACAGTCATATAATTAACATTATGATCAAGAATGATTCTTGAGTCTAAACAGATGTGTTGGGGCTCTAGAATTGGAAAACCTTGTGAACCTTGCAGATGTCATAACGTGCACGCCTCCAAAATCTCAACTACACGTTGTGTGAAGCTGCAGAGCTGCGCATCAGGCAAACACTGACTGCTAGCACTGGTAGTGGGACAAACCCAAACAATACTTAGAGCTAGGACAAAATTAAAGGTGTGACATGTATAAATCATCCTTTTATCACAGCCACAATTTAGCTTTTTCTACCCATTCTCTACAATGCAATTGAATAGAGGTCTGTATCTGCAATATGTAGTGGCACGGGGCTAATTTTCAGTATCACATGGGGGAGAGGGCTGTTAACCAGCACAGTGAGGGCAGGAGTGGGGCAACACATATGTGTACAGAAATCCCAAAAATGAATGAATAGCCTATATAACAGGATAAAAAAAAATCACTTAAATAACTGGCATAGATACACAGTATATAACAGTAAAATAATGAGTAATAATAATAATCTCATTCTAAACAGAAGTTCTAAATTGGTTAGAACTAATCACAAAACGTTTTCTTGTAGGCTCCAGAAACAGCAGAGCCCTTAGACAGTCCGAAGGCCAAATCTGCGGAAGGTGCTGTTAATAAAGGTGAGTACAGGAGAAAAAACAGACCATTTTCAGTCGTGACTAACGCAGGTGGAAACAAGTGTTACAGGTCCGCAGGCGGGAGTGGGACAAAACACTGCAGATTTTTCTGGAAGTGGGACGAAATCTTGCGGGAGCCGGCAGGCTAACACTGGTCCTGCACAGACCTCTAAAATGAAAATTCTTTGTTGTCTCCTGTACGTTCTGTTTCAGACGCTAAAGCCCACTTCACAGCAGATTCGATGCAGCGTGTGTATTAATCTGGAAACAAGCTGTTTGTGTTGCTTTTCACGTAACAAACATCTGTATTGTCCACTTACTACTCATATAAACTTTGTGTAGATAACAAAGAGATCAACAATTAAACCTTGACTAGCTGCCGTGACTGTTGCCTGCTTTCTCACCTGTTGATGTAGCTCTATATGAAGAGGAGGAGATTAACCCACTGAAGGGATTTCAGTCAATCTGTCAAAGATTTAAAACTAGATTTGTTGACGTGTTTATTAGCCTAGATTGTATATTACAGCACAGACACTGCATTTCTTTACTGTTTCTGCAGAAAGTGCTGGCGTCCCCCGAGACACAGGTAACTGTATAAGCAGTGTTTTTAGTCATCAGTGGTTGCGCTACCTTCGCTCTTTTCCTTAGCAGCTTGGCCAGTCTGACCACGTAAGGCTTGAACTCTCTCTGGTGTGTTCCCTGCCGCCGCACCTCCAGGCCTGAGTCATCTGAGGCTTCTGGGATAAAGGCCCAGCGATACCTGGAACACAACACACATCTTATCACACCTGCACTGCAAATGCTCATTAAAGGCAGCTCTTGTGGAGCAGTTTGGATCTGTAAGTAATCAAACAGAAGTACAGACTATTAACATGTCCTGAGATAAAATCATACACGTAATGGTAATCCTTACAATACATATTTACTAAATTATATATATATATATATATATATATATATATATATATATATATATATATATATATATATATATATATATATACATATGCAATCCATTTACTTGATTCTAAGTAAATAACCATGCGTAGAAGTGCAGACTGAAGCCCAGCTGCTCACATGCTGCTGTGACAGAGTAAGTGACTGTAGTCTGCTTGTTCAAATGCAGCTTTTAAATAGATTTTAAAGCAAAACCTTCAGCACCTTCGCCAGACTACGCTGCTCAGTGCTTGTGGGAGACATATGGATAAATCAAAGAGCAGCACACTAACAAAAGCAACAGCAAAGAAGCGGAAAACTACAGTTCTCCTTCACTGTAACAATCACAGAGTAGTTAATATCACTGACTGTACATATATATGACATATGCACTCATTAGACGGAAAATTGGAAACTATATTCACTCCATCAAAATTGTGATTTTCATGTTGCATTCACACAAGATGAAATAAAATAATGTTAGTGAATGTAATAAATAAGCTTATTCTATCCCCTTTAACAAAATGCACAGCTTCTTAAACAGGGAAAAACCCTTTTAACCTTTAAGCACAAATTTGAGCCAATTAATTACACTAAATAATGCAGTTAATAAATTATTTTTATTTTTGCATGCTCTGCTTGTACATCTTTTCCACATGAATAAAATAAATGACATCAAGACAATTTCAAAGATTTTATCCATGTGGAAATGATGTTTAAAGTCAACGCAGCACTTGTAAGTAGTGCTGTAATGTAAACAGACGACAAAGAAATCTAGTAGCCTAAGATCATGTACCACTCAGTGCACAGGAAAAGACCTATGTTATGTATAGAGCATAAGATTTACTGTAAAATAGCTAGGGTTAAGGGTTAGTATAGCGATATGTGAGAAAGATAATAAGATAAGACTTGGTTTTCTAAGGACTTTTAGAGATACACTTGACTTAAAGTGTTAAATGGCACCTTTCATTTCTGTGCTACAGGTGGCTTCCAGTGCTGAGTCAGTCTTTTCTAAGCCTACAGACCAGTATGCGATTTGCACATCCAGTGAGACACACCAAAAGGCATCAGTTATCTTTTTTACCAAGTGCTTTTAAACTTCAGTGACTGTTTCTTGATATTAAATATACATATCAGTTTTTGTACTGACTCTGTGTTAAGTGTATTTTTTTTGCACAGCATAGGTTTGAATCGTATTAACTTAAAACCGATGGCTTAAAAACCAGAAGTGTCAAATTTTTAAAATATCTAGGTGTATCATATTAATGATGTTTTTGTAATAGATTTGAAACTTTAAACTGCAGAACGGGTCACCCACATCTGAAACTGAGGCAGACTCTCTGAGGGCAGAGCTAAGGCCAGGTCCAGCAGCTTGCATGCGGACAGGTAGAGGTTGAGCCACCGCTGGCTGTTGTAGGAGGTAGAGAAACCGTTTCCTCCGGAGTATGTTGTCTCCAGCCCCGCTACGGAGGGTCCTGAGGTCCTACACACAGCACAGACACACAGAGATGACTTTAACTACACCAAATACACAGGTTTATGCTACCATTTCAGTACACTGTGGATCATTAATGGACAGTCTGTATGTATATACACTATATGGACAGAAGTATTGGGACACCTACACATCACACCTACAGGAGCTTTTATGAATCCCATTCTCAATCTGTTGGCATTAATATGGAGTTGGTCACTCTTTGCAGCTTTCTACAAGATTTTGGGGAGTGTCTGGGGGAATCCAGAAGAGCATTTGTGAGGTCAGGCACTGATGGGTTGATGGGGTTGAGGTCAGGGCTCTGTGAGGGCCAGTCAAGTTCTTCCACACCAAACTCACCCAGTCAGGCTTTTATGGAGCTGCTTTGGTCACTGGGGCTCAGTCATGCTGGAACAGAAAAGGTTCTTCCCCAAACTGTTCCACAATGTGGGAAGTGTACAATTGTCCAGAATGTCTTGGTGCTGAAGCATTAAGATTCCCTTCACTGGAACTAAGGGTTCTAGACCAACCCCTGAAAAACAGCCCCATATCATCATCCCTCCTCCACCAAACTCTACAGCTGGCACAGTGCAGTCAGGCAGGTAACGTTCTCCTGGCATTCACCAAACCCAGACTCGTCCATCAGACTGACAGATTGAGGGTCAGAGTCCAGCGGCGGCGCTTTACACCCCTTCATCAGACGCTTGGCATTGTGTTTGGTGATATAAGGCTTGCATGCCGCTGCTTGGCCATGGAAACCCTGCCATGAAGCTCCCAGCGCTCAGTTTTTGTGCTGATGTTGATGCCAGAGGAGGTTTAAACTTTTATGCACCATTTTTATGCATCGTGCCTGAGTTGCTGTGGCTCTTAAATGCTTCCACTTTATAAAATAATAATTGGAATATCTAGGAGGGAAGATATTTCACCGACTTGGTGCAACAACAGCATCCTATTACAGCACCATGCTCGAATTCAGTGTGTGTAAAGGCAGACTGCATGGCTAGGGACTTGATTTCACACACCTGTGGCAATGAGACTGAATGAAACACCTGAATTCAATGATTATGAGGCATTTCCCAATACTTTTGTCCATATAGTGTATAAACTGCAATGATCGTCAGTGTGAGGCTCTTGTATGAAGAATATAGGTGAAATGTGTACCTGGTGATGTCCTCATCTGCAATGAGCTCCTGCTCCATCAGTAAAAACACCTGGACCTGAGTGAAGAAGAACAGTTTAGTTTCAGGACAGTCAAAAACAAAAGGCATACTGCATATTCTGCATAGAATAATCAACAGACTCAGAGTGATTGGGGTGAGATACACGTGTGTGTGTTCTTTCCTGTGATTTAGGTGAGTCACAGAGAGGTGCAGATCTGAGCATGTCGGTGTGTTCTCACCAGCTCAGTGATCATGGTGGGCCACAGTGAAGTGAGGTGTTGGGGGGACATGCGCAGCAGCAGCACCCTGAAGAACAGAAACACCTGCGCATGCAGGATAGGAACCTGAGGCAGACGCAGACTCTCCACCAGCCGCTCTGAAACACACAGTTTACTACTTAGCCATGAATACTCTTGAAGGCATGAAGCTTATGAAGACTGAATGGCTTATGAGGTTTTTCTGAAGGTAGTAGATGCTGGATGCATCACTGCAACATTGGTATGTTAGCATGGTGCCATGTTTTGCATGTTTTGCTGCTGATCTATATGCCTGTGTTTTGGTGAATGCGACTGTTTGTCCAGGTACATCGAATGCTTGGTAGATAATTCCACTCTGCTTCTGTACAAGATCAACATTTATGTTTGTGTGTCTTTTGTACAAAAATGTTTAGAGAAAAACAGGATTAACCTACTAACTGTAAAATGTCTTTTACAAAAGCTCCATGTTAGGTTTAGAGTGAGTGTAAGTGTGTTTTGGCTTGTTAAAACACCACATATCATTAGAATAAATGCAAATGAATATAAATACAGTACAAAGTACTAAGAATTTCTTTATCTTTTATTTTAAAAAATCAGTTGAAATCTTGCGAGCTGGTTAGAAGAACAAAGTTTGGCCCTCTGCCATCACAAACTTGTTAAATTCCATCACCAGAACTTGATTTAATTTAATGAAGTACTGATTAGCCAAACCAAGTATTGGTTTGGACGACCAAGGATGATCGTAAAGTTGTATAAAAACAAAAGCGTGTGTGAGCACCTTGGATGTCTGGTAGGTATTTCTGGTACTGGTCCACCTCACTGCTGTAGATAGTGAATGCGAGCCGTTTCAGCAGCATTGCTCTCTGTTCCAGCTCGGCGTCACGGTTGGTGAACAGGTTCAGAGAGCTGCTCTGTGCTACAGCCACTCGCGCTAGTGAAAGAGAAACAGACACACACAACTGTAAATCAAACACAATCTCATATAACACTTCTCTTCTGTCACGATACGAGGGGGTAAGAGGATGGACTCTATGGGCACGAATTAGCAGCAAGGATGCAACAAAAGTCCATTAGCTGTTGATTGTATTCATTATAGGAAAAATGACTTGTTGTTTACAAACAGGCTATTAACTCTGACAGACCGCAATACACTACAGGAAGAGTAGGGGGTGATGTAGCTTTGTTGTCTCACTGTACAATAAACAGACAATAAAACAAAAGAGTTCAGTGTTTGAATAATGAATGGGATAGCTTGCATCGCTGAACATGGGTGCTGTACTATGCAAAGTCCTGCCCTTCAATAAAGCAACTGGCTTGTTGGTAAAGCCTCAAGCAGCATGGAAATCCCCCCCACCACCACTGTAAAGATATGCATGTGTGTAATAGGCAAAATAAATGGGGGAAAAAATTGATGTGGCTTTTATTTTCGGTTTAAAGGTCTCTCCCCAGTCAAAGATATAGGTGTCTGATCTTGTAAGACTGCAAATAACTCTTAAAAGAAGATGCGGCTTGTAACAAACACAGAACTTCATAATCGTGGCCAAAGCAAAGTGAGAGATATTGAAGAAAGCATAATCATTTGTTTAGTTGATTAATCAAATTAAAGCTTATAGATCAACTGACTTTAGAAATAATAGTTGCAGCATGCAGGACACACTCACTCATCAAATCTCTAAATGTGGTCTTATCATGGGTCATCAGGTGGTCAATGATGGCTCTCCAGCTGAAAGAAACAAAAACACTCTGTCACACTGAAGTCAATCAGAAGGCTCAAATCAAGTTAAATTCCACCCAGTGAAGTGAACAAAGTGAATTGACTGGCTGATTAAGCTGCCGCTCACTGGCTGACACAGGATGAGTCCATCTGGAAGAAGGTGTGGTCCATGAACAGGTCGAAGGCTTCTTTCTTCCAGGCCCGGCGTGTGTACTGATAACCACTCAGGCTGCTCAGGAGCTGGATACACGCTCGGTAACTTGGGGCATTGTGGGCACTGAAACAGAAAAAACACCAGAGTTACATACATGATTAAACACCGACAAGCAAACAAGCTGTTTCTGTTCTAAGAAAACTTTGTAACTCAGAAAAGGTCACTTAAAAGAAGAATTCTTAATGATCACATCCACCCTCGATTAATGCTGCCTGCTGCCCTTCCTGTGTTTTTGAGGGGGACGAACCGCAAGTACGCGTTTGTGGATGCAGGGCACTGTCAGTAAATAATGGGGGGCGGGACGTCAGCATTAGACATCATACTTATTAGCCTTATGCTAAACACAGACAGCAATCAACACTGATGATTGAATGCAAAAATGACAGACTAATCTTGGCAAAGGGGGCATTTTAGGACATTTTAGGATCTTGAGTACAAACTGTGAGTTGGACAGCACTAACAGAACACACCAGGGCTCAGCAACCTAAATGTTAAGAAGAGTCATTTTGTCCTTCAACAGAAACCAAACCACCTTGAGAGCCACAACATTTTATGCCGATTTTACCATCTTGGCTGTAAATATGTCTCAGAATGTGCTGGTGTTCTAGTACAGGCTAAAAAAAATAAATAAACAAAAACGTATATTTACTTTAATCTTTAGCTCAGCTATAGCTGCTTTCCTCGCATCTCCAGCAGGAAACTTGTCCGCAAAAGTAGAACAGTTTCTTAAAAAATGTCTCTTAACGTTTTACGAGGCTGAAGTCGCTTCTCATTCGCCAGCTTCTTTCCTGCCAGAATGTTACTGCTGCACCATTTAAGGTGAAATGAGAAAATTAGAAAAGGCAGCTGGCAACTGAGAAACTGACTTCAGCTTCATGACTTTTTAGGGTTTCAGTTTCTCACTGCAAATTAAACGCATCAGGAAACCCGCTGGAGTGATTATCAACACAAATAAGTCCATTCGTCATCAAATTATCAATGTTTGTCTTAAAACTCTCTCTTTGTCTTTGTTTGTTCTACATTAAGTCCAGAGTTTAAGACCATTTATTGTTAAACTGTGTTGAACGATCAGCAGAGCTTTATTTTACTGCAAAGGAGGATTATTTTATTTTTACCTACAAATCTAATTCTGCTGTGGAGCCACAACAGGGCAGTAAAAGAGCCACATGCAACTCTGGAATTCACCATCAGGCTCCTGTCTAAATATGTTTAGAGCTAAAATTTTCAACTGTACGGCTGATTTCCTCTTTAAACGAGCCTCAATATATTTTTCCATCTATTTATGCTTAAAGCTATAGAGTCCTGCATGAATGCACTGCTAATGGCCGAAAAAGAACATTTTCAGTTGAAAGGTTTTTGCCCTTTTCTGTTTCCTTGGTTTTTATTTGAGTTCGGTGGGGTGATATTGGGAGATGCTGATATCAAGTCATCTCTCGAACCCCTCAGAATGAGGGCAGATTTATCATCAGCAGCTCCTTATCACAGACCCAACCCACACAAAACAGAGTCTCTTTAGACTGACTGTTTAGCAGGGACCTGTGGTTAATAACTGTAACTTAAAGCTTAAAAAAAGTATTTGCAGATCGAAAAGATCAGTTCAACTAAATCAGTTTCATAGTAGTTAAGCTGGACTTTGCAGAGAAGCTTGTCAACTGAGCTGCTTCTCTCTTCTCTACTATGACTGGACATCTGAGCTGCTGGGAAAAGTGTGCAAGTATATTAAAGTTTTTTTCTGAGTAATTTTCTGAGTAATACTTGAAGTTGAGTTGTTGTCCTCATTTAAGTCAATATCTGTCAGTGTGGTGTGTACCTGTGGTTCCGGAGGTAAGGAACCACGTAGTGCATGATGTTGACCAGCAGGGGAATCACTCTCTCTTTCTCATCGCTGTAGAACACCATGTCCAACAGGTGAGCCAACACCTGAAACACCCCAAAACGATTCACTAACAAAAATAACCAGACAGTCAAAGTAAACATGTGGAATCAAGTGGTTTGAAGGAGCGTGCAGGTGTTTGCGCTGGGTTAAAGGAGTGTGCAGGTGTTTGTGCCGAGTTAAAGGAGTGTGCAGGTGTTTGTGCTGAGTTAGAGGAGTGTGCAGGTGTTTGTGCCGAGTTAAAGGAGCGTGCAGGTGTTTGTGCCGAGTTAAAGGAGTGTGCAGGTGTTTGTGCCGAGTTAAAGGAGTGTGCAGGTGTTTGCGCTGGGTTAAAGGAGCGTGCAGGTGTTTGTGCCGAGTTAAAGGAGTGTGCAGGTGTTTGTGCCGAGTTAAAGGAGTGTGCGGGTGTTTGTGCCGAGTTAAAGGAGTGTGCGGGTGTTTGTGCCGAGTTAAAGGAGTGTGCGGGTGTTTGTGCCGAGTTAAAGGAGTGTGCGGGTGTTTGTGCCGAGTTAAAGGAGTGTGCGGGTGTTTGTGCCGAGTTAAAGGAGTGTGCGGGTGTTTGTGCTGAGTTAAAGGAGTGTGCAGGTGTTTGTGCTGAGTTAAAGGAGCGTGCAGGTGTTTGTGCTAGATTAAAGGAGTGTGCAGGTGTTTGTGCTGAGTTAAAGGAGTGTGCGGGTGTTTGTGCTGAGTTAAAGGAGTGTGCAGGTGTTTGTGCTGAGTTAAAGGAGTGTGCAGGTGTTTGTGCTAGATTAAAGGAGTGTGCAGGTGTTTGCGCTGGGTTAAAGGAGTATGCAGGTGTTTGTGCTGGGTTAAAGGAGTGTGCGGGTGTTTGTGCTGAGTTAAAGGAGTGTGCGGGTGTTTGTGCTAGATTAAAGGAGTGTGCAGGTGTTTGCGCTGGGTTAAAGGAGTATGCAGGTGTTTGTGCTGGGTTAAAGGAGTGTGCAGGTGTTTGCGCTGGGTTAAAGGAGTATGCAGGTGTTTGTGCCGGGTTAAAGGAGTGTGCAGGTGTTTGTGCTGAGTAAAAGGAGTGTGCAGGTGTTTGTGCCGAGTTAAAGGAGTGTGCAGGTGTTTGCGCTGGGTTAAAGGAGTATGCAGGTGTTTGTGCTGGGTTAAAGGAGTATGCAGGTGTTTGTGCTGAGTTAAAGGAGTGTGCAGGTGTTTGTGCTGAGTTAAAGGAGTGTGCAGGTGTTTGTGCCGAGTTAAAGGAGTGTGCAGGTGTTTGTGCCGAGTTAAAGGAGTGTGCAGGTGTTTGTGCCGAGTTAAAGGAGTGTGCAGGTGTTTGCGCTGGGTTAAAGGAGCGTGCAGGTGTTTGTGCCGAGTTAAAGGAGCGTGCAGGTGTTTGTGCCGAGTTAAAGGAGTGTGGAGTCATTAAGCAGTTGAAATATGACACTGTATTTAAATGCAGTAATAGTTCCAAGGGCAGAGGAAATCACATTCACATTATTAGTGAATAACTGTGGACAGAATAATCGTTTACTGATTACAGAAGTAACTGTTAGTTGCAGGCCTAGTGAGCAGGTGCGCGTTTACCTCTGCTAGCAGTGTGAGGGCGTGAACGCTGTAGACTGATGGAGTGAAATTGGACGCCTCCATCACTGTGAGCATTAAATCTGAAACACACAATGATACACAAGTGAGAGACACAAGTGACCACGCAGTCATGCAGACATGCAAACCATCACGAGCCAGAATGCTTTAAATGTCACACACACGTTTATTCATAGCGTCCTCTCATACCTTCCACATCTGCCTCCAAAGTGGCTCCATCCACCACGATCTGCGGAGAAGGCTTCACCTCCAGGTTTCTCCTCAGCCAGGTGGTCTGCTCCAGAGAAGATCCAGCAATAGTGCCAATCGCCTCCACGATTTTATGGGTCACATCCTTTTAAAGAAAGTACAGATTTTTTTTAAGTGTAGAGAACAAGGCAGGTTTCCACTCAAGGGATTTTATATGGCAAATGTCTTCTGAAGATGTAAATGATGGAAACAACAATAACAGTAAGATTTGTTTGACTTCAGCAAATACATCATTTGTCAATACTTGAAACAATTTACTACAACAGAGATACTTTTGACAGGAAAAAAAAGTACAATTACACATAAAATTAGTGTTATGACATGGGATTTTCATCAAAACAACAAACCATCAATTTAAACCACAGCGGCTTTCTGTGAGGTGGTTCAGCTACAACACAAGCACAGTTTTTCCCAAAAATAAAGTGCATTAAATGCTGTAAGGAATGACTTCATTTCTGAATTAGCATATTTGGAGAAAATTGTAAACTGTGGTGATTAGCAGAGACATGAAAATTATACTAACAAACTGCCGGACAAAACATAAGGCTATGTAAACAAAAGCAACTTATATATATATATATATATATATGTATATATATATATATTATATACATACACACACACATACACGTTGGCAATGGACAGATGTTCAGATTTAAACAATGTTTCGAACTAATATTTGATGGTATATTATTATAAAATATAAAATACTGAACATCAGCATCCCCCCACAATTCGCATATCAAATCATTCTTAATCATTATCTTGCTAAATGCACACGAGACGGTGAGCGAGTGAGCCTGTGAGTGCTTTACATCTAAAGAAGTGAATCCTACACACATATTAGTGTACTCTTTAGTGAGAAGTATTGTGAGTAAGATTAAGGATGCACTGATATGCGAGTTGTGGGCCAACAGCGATATTTTTTATGTACATATCTGCCGACGCCAATGCTGAGGCCAATATATAAACATTTATAAAAGAAATTGTCAGATTTGTCTCTCAGAAACTGATTAACTGCTCTCACCTGCAGCTCTCGCTGGTCCTTCTTGCTTTCCAGGGTGGGATTCTTCAGGATAAACTCATTCAGAACACTGAAGCCAACCACAGAGACACGTCCATAAAGTACGGTCAAATTTACAGACACCATAAAATGACTAATTATGTATAAAAACCTGTGACCCTGTGAGCAGTGTGTACGTAAAAAAAGAGTGAAGAGAGCAAGTAAGTGTGAGAGTTAGCGAGTGTCCTGAAGGTGTGTGAGTCTGTTTGAATCTATCTAGTACCCCAGAATAAGGAACTGTCCTGGTGCCGGTAGGCCGAGCTGCACTGAATCTTTCAGCAGAGCTAGCAGTGAGGGCCAGCTGTCCACCAGACTGGACACAGGAATCCTGCAGGAGACCAAACATCCAATAAAAAACACATACACTGGCTGTGTTTACATGCAATGATTTTTGCCAATCAGATTGAATACATTCAGATTACAGATTAAGACTGAGGTGATTATTTACTCTCTACTCAACAATCTGAAGAAAATCTCAGTTTACATTCACACTACAAGTAATCTGATCCAAAAATCACGCGCATGTGTAGAGAGCTGCTAGTGTAAACTTTAACATGACAACAAACGTCACGTGATCCAGTCACCGTGAGACGAACAGCACTTTAAAATGATGTCAGACTCAGGAAAACGTCCTTCACATGTCCTTATTAAAGAAGGCCGAGAGGAAGACGTCGTGTTCTGAGACACATAAGCTGGACGTCCGTCCCACCGCCGTCTTTTAAAGATCAGAGCATAAACTTCGTCTCCTCTGCAGACCAGTTTCTGCTCCGCCATGCTGAACGGTATAAACTTTCACTGTGACGTGACGAACATGATCAGAACGGACTTAAACTTTCCGATAGGGAATGTAATCAGATACAGGCGTTTACACGGATATTATTCTTCTATTTAACGGATTATTTACAGGATTACCCACCTCGATCAGTCGGATAGAAACTGTATTCAGAATGGCCTCAATCAGACTAGACTATTCTGACTGAGGTGTTTACATGGATGTATTCTGTTCTGATTGAGCTATTAGTCAGATTATTCACTATTTATTAGGCTGCATGCAAACATGGCTGACAAGAAAACAACAACATAATTTACCTCTAATTTTTTCAGAGCCGATTACCACCCGTTAGTGAGGTCTCCCCATCACGCAATGCTACCTAGCTGGAAGGGTGATGTGCTTCCTCCCAGATACGCGATGCACGACCGCATCTTTTCAAACTGCCGTTACTGGACAGCTCAGTGTGCTTGGAGGAGAGCACGAACTACCAATTCTGTCAGCTAACAGACGTCCACATTAGCTAGCATCATGCTGGGTGATGGGGAGACCAGGAGGGCCATCCTACCCACCCAGAGAGAGCCAAACCTATTACGTTCTCTCTGAGTAGGTGGGGATCGCACAGCTTAATTTGTATGGATATGGTTATGTGTGTTATGTGATTAAGATATACTACAATAACACTATTCAAACGGGTCAAGAGAACATTTCTAATAGCGCTGAATAACATCATTCCAGGACAAGACTCACTGCAGCGTAAAGCTTACAGAGTGCTTAAAAATATGTTTATAGCAGCCAAATACTTAACAGACTCTTACAGAGCTAAACCATACTATCATATCAGGGGGACAGCAGACAGATCAGGCTGAACATCACTACATCTAACAGCACTGAACAACATCTTTACACCGATCAGGAAGATCAGGAAACGAAAGCGCTCTATAACTTTCATATAGTCCATGCAGTCGTTCTGACAGAGCAAAGTGAGAGCAAACTGCATGGTTTGTTTGTTTAGCCAATCGATCAAATGATCATCAACAGATTGATCTGTAACAGAAATAATCTTTAGCTGCAGCCCGAGTGCTGAGTGTGCTCAAGAAAACCTTTACAGGTGACTCACCTCTGAACGTAGGCATAGAAAAACTGAAGCATGCAAACCTCCAGGGACAAATGCTTCTGTGGAGAGAAACAAAACTGCAGTGAGAAAACGGTTTACCAGTAACATCAACAGCATTCAGAATGCAGGACTTCTAGCCATTTAACAGGGCCCATTTCACAAAAACTCATAAGTTTTCTCTTTTTTTTTCAATAATAGAAGCTGATATAATATGTAATCAGGTGTTAAATGTACTGTCCACTTTCTATGTATGGAAACTAGGCTTATTTTGAATTCAAGGCTTGTGTGAGGTCACAAAAACCAAAGCATTTACATACACATAAGCCAAAACATCACAACCACTCACAGATAATACTGACTATCTTGTAAGAACAGCACGTCAAGGTTTGGGATATGTTAGGCAGTAAGCGAACAGCTGGGCAGACGTGAAGACCTGGGTAATTCTGACAAGCGCCAGATCACTATGGCAAGACAAACGTCAGAAACGGCGGGGCTCGTGTGGAGCCACCAGACAACAGTGGTGAGAACCTACCGACAGCGGACTGAGGAAAGACAGACCACAACTGGTGACAGGGTTTTGGGCGCCCAAAGCCCATCGATGCATGAAGGTAGAGGTCTACACCCCTGCGGGACCCCCTGCAAGATATTGTGGCGTGGGACTAATTTTCAATGTTGTGCACAGGAGTGGGTGGGAAACGAGGCCACTACAGATGGAAGTGGGCCAAAACACACATGAAGAAAAATCCCACGAATGAATGAACAATGTAAATAAAGTAGAACGATCACTAAATCATACATAAACAATATAAAGTGCTAAAAGTAAAACAGTTGAAGTGAATGAAGTCGTTCTAAAGAGCTGTGAAGCAGCCGATCACGTGAACAACACACAGATTCTCGTAGCTCACAGAGATGGCAGAGCCTTCAGTCTGATGGCCACAGCTGCCCAGCACAACACCAAAGATAACCGCTCTGTGGTTTAATTCCTGCTCGGTGTTTAAATGGTAAATAAATGGTGTTTGGTGAGCCTGACGACCATGCCATGTTATTTCAGCAGAGGATGATGTGTTTGTGAACACACTGTGTCAGACATTGGATGGCAGTTCACCTTGAAGGAGCTGTGTGGGTGGGAGTGGGATGAAATCTTGCAGGAGACTTCTGGCCTCTAGACCCCAAATGTTAAATTTTCAATGTAGATAATTGTTGCTTCATTATGCTGGTAGTGAACTATGCTGCTGACTCAGCTGCCTAAAAACCATAGAAACAGACCTTAAACAGAAGTGAGGACCCTGTTGGGGTTCATCCAAAAGTTAGGACAGGATTTAGGAGGTTTAGTCTAGTTAGGATGTTTGTGTGATGCTGTTTTCTTATCTGGAGTTAATGATGAGATTATGAAGGTAGGAACTGTTATTCTGGAATAGATACTGTCCTAAATTCAGTCCTAACCGAGGTTGTCATGGTGACCAAACAGTCAGATGTTTCTGGAATACGGTCCCTGATCTCCAAATTTCCCACATCTCAATCTGATTGAGCATCTGTGGGATGTGCTGGAACCTCAAGTTTGATCTACCATCTGACAAGTTGCAGGATTAAAGTATCTGCTTCTAAAATCTTGGTGTGAGATATTGCAGGACACCTTCAGGGGTCTTTCAGAGTCCAGCAGGTCACTGCTCTTTTGGTGGCACACAAAGGACCAACAGCATATCAGGCAATATGGTCATAATGTTTTGGCTCATCAGTGTATATCATCCTGTTCAGTGTGTAGCTGTTTGGCGTCGCCCATTCATGTTGAAGTTATAAGGAGTATTTTAAACTGTGTGCACCCCTGCTCAAATTACGTTTTGCTGATTCTCTAAGTGAAAATAATTAACACATCCTCTACAGAGAAAACACACTTCTGCACATTTCGGTGTACAATTACTGGTTATTTGCTGAATTTAACAAACTGGAAAAAATTAATAAAACATATACTGTGCCCTGTGCAAAAAAGTGGCAAATTTCATATTTTGTTTCATTTTTCCAATATATTACATATGTTTAATAAATAGAAATTGTGCACTAATATGTGTAGAAAAGAGTGTAGACCCTTTAAATGTATTTCTGAAACACCTTCTCTTTTGCGATGGCTGGCGGCTGCTTTAGAACCTCCTTCACTGTCTGCATCACAGTCTCTGTGCGCATGGCGTTCACTGACCGCACCAAATCCACCAGCAGGAGCTGCTCCTCACTGGCTGTGGGAATCACCTACAACACACAAACACAAACACACACACACACACACACACACACACACACACGTGAGTACAATAACATCCATTACTGGTCTCTAAACACCAGGTGGTTTATCTGGTTATGTGTAACCAGATGGTGAACAGCCAAGCTGTGAATACACCTTGACCTTTTGGAAAATACTGTGCAAAAATCATCTCTCTCTCCATCTCTCTCTATCTATCTGTCTATCTATCCATCGGCAGATAACAAAAAACAAACAAACAAACAAACAAACAAACAAAAACTGGTAGACCATCAAAACAGTACTTAAATCTTCCTGCACTAAAACACAAAATCTGGACATATACAGGTTTTATGTACTACTGAGTCTAAATCTGTAAATGGGATTATTGGGATCATAGGAAACAGAAAATGCAACCGACTTCTTAGACTGAACTTTGGAGGTAATTACAAAAGGATTTTTAAAAAACGTAAAGTAAGTCTAGAGAAAAGAACATAATCTGTAATAAAAGACAAAGTGTAAACACACTATGTACTCAAATATTTTATACTACATTTATTTGTTTTGTTTGATTGTATTGTTAAATTTTTGCTTTCTTGTTTAGCTTTTTCCCCTGATGCTAAAAAAATAATAACAAATATGTAATGAAAATAATGGGCTGTTTTGAAAGAAAAAAGGCTGATTTCTGACTTTTACACAGTACTTCTGAATGTATTTATGTAATTATTACTTTTAGTATTATATATAATGTCTATATAGTAACAAGTAACAAACTGTAAAAACCTAAAGTTAATTAGTTGCTTGTTAATTCTCTTCTTGTTACTTCTGTTCTTTTTCTTTTCTTTTTTTTGAGTGCACTGCTCTCCCTTTGCTGCTGTAACACTGAGAATTTCCCCGTTGAGAAACTAATAAAGGATCATTTTATATTATTTAACAGCAAATCAGTTACTTCGACTCACACACTGACCACCGAGACTGAACACACTCTTTGCTGTGTACCTTGTTCCTGGCGGGCGTTTTGACCTGTTTCCTCTCGTTCCAGACGTAAGCAATAGCAGCCATGAAGTGTGTTCCATGGTTCATGGAAATCGGACCAAGAAGCTCCAGGATCTGCTGCCGGAGATTCTAGAGGAAATTACAGACATTAGTCTTTAAATTCAGCAGGATAAACACTACGTTTTAAGTCATTGTTATTTATTTTAAAACAAACAAACAAATAAAATTCAGGCAAAATAGTGGATATGTATTATTAAATCACAGTGCATTATTTAAATTATGTTCCTTTTCCATACTTAATTTAATATTGAAAAAGTGATGAGTTATGAGTGATGAGCTAAATAACAAATCAGAAAGATAGCATTTTTATTTGTGTAAGTTTTAATAATGCTTTCAACTCTATAATACTGGCATCCTTTGTAAAGATGGTCAAAAAAGGTTATAAAATGTTTTGTGGTTTAATGATATCACACTGAAAATAAAAGATAAACATTTAACCTTTAATTAACTTTTTTCATTGGGGTATAAATAAGTGGTTACAAAAAGAGCAAAAAAGAGAGAAAAATGACATATTTCAGTATGTTTTCTGTAGAGGATGTGAACTTATTTACATTTAGAAAATCAACAAAACATGTAATCTGACCAGGAGTGTTTCTGAATATGACTGTAACTAAGATGTCCTTGATTGGCAATGGAAGTTTTTCACCTACTTATTAGCACTGTGTAAACTGCACACCTAAACCATCACACATGTTCCTCAAACTGAGTTGAGTTGTTAGGGAGTCTCACACAGACTTGTTTTTGTGGTTTATGACACTGTATGATCTATAAAAACGGACAAAACTAACTGGTTGAATCAGTTTTTGATGAAGTACAGACTCTGAAAGACCCCTGAAGGTGTCCTGCAATATCTCACACCAAGATTTTAGAAGCAGATACTTTAATCCTGCAACTTGTCAGATGGTAGATCAAACTTGAGGTTCCAGCACATCCCACAGATGCTCAATCAGATTGAGATGTGGGAAATTTGGAGATCAGGGACCGTATTACAGAAACATCTGAATTTGTGGTGAATCAGCTGTTTTCGCGTTTAGTTGAATTACACCCTCACTTAAACACGAGTCATGAGTCAGAGCGTTAATCAGAGGAGTCCAGGCGTGTTCCTCCTTACTTTAGTGGAGCCCAGGTTGATGTTGGAGTTGGAGCAGGCGGCAGCGGCTGCAGGTCTGTCTGAACTGTCAGCCAGGTACAGGACACTCCAGAGCAGAGTGACCGAGGACATGATGGTGTGCAGGATGGAGAGGATACCTGCACGAGCCTCGGCCAGGTGCTTCTGGTCTACGCTAACCTGGAGCTGTTCGGGACAAGAACACAAAAAACAGAACACTCATTCATAGAGAACAGAGAAATCATAACCATGCACACACACACACACACACACACACACACACACACACACACACACACAAACATGCACACACCAACACCCACACGCACGCACATATACATTTGATAAGCCCAAGGGGGAAAAAAAAACAAAAAAAAAAAAACATCAGAACATAGAAATACAAGAGCAAACAGACCCATAACTGCAGTGGCTTTTCTTCACTTTAGGCAGCAGACAGTTCCAGAAAAAGAGATCTGGCGCCCTCACCTGGTGGTACTGTGATGATGGGTCCAGCAGACAGTAGTGGATGATGGCTGTTACTCCCTCCAGCACAGTGAGAATGAGGTCAGGCGGAATACACAGCGCCATCCACTGGGGCCTGGAAATATAACAAACATCACATAAAACGTGTCAGAGAACAAGAACGCATTTTAACAATGATGAGCTGGGTTTCAATATTACTCTGCTAGTGGGATTTTCATCTTCAAATATACTGAAGATATAAAACCTTGTCTGTTTTTATCACTTCAGATTATGAGAAGCAGAAAAAAGAAGGAAAGCTTGAAATGTTTCATTGTGGGGGGACTGGACAGAGCAAAAATTGTTAATCCTGCCCAATCTGCCTATATTGGAGACGTTCCTGGCCCTGTGTGCCTGTATCAGCGATGTGCGAGAGGAAATTATTATTTAAATTAATGAAAACAACTTCTTTGATTGATGTCAGTGAAGGGGGGTCGACCGTATTTCTGATTCTATATGATCAAGGTTTTTAAGCTTCTACCAGAGCACACGCTAAACTCGGCTGTGTTTACACGTCTCTATCTGCTCCAGGAGGCTCGCTAATCTGCGTGACCTCATTCATTCTCTGATAAATAAATATAACAGAGAGCAGGCTAGATAGCTAGTAATTCAGATCAACTTATTTGGCCGGCACCACAAGTTAAAACTAATTATCGCCTCAAATGAGATTTAGGAATGAAGTCTCAACAGCTGTGCTTACCTGAACTGGCAACTGTGTGCTACTGGTGATAAGATAGCATTTAGCCTCATAGACAGATGTTTGTTTCCGTACAGAAGCGCATGCTTTCAGTGTAGTTTTTCCATTTTATAACATCTTATTTATCAAATTTATCAATTCTTAGCGGATATTCTTAGAAGCTCATGCATACCTGGTGTCAGTGAGTCCAGTCTCGTAGCGGTATTGCTGGATGAGGTTGTCCAGGTTCCTGCACAGCTGCAGCGTGACTGACGCCACTACCCGACGCAGCACCCGGCCCATGTAAGGCAGCGTAGCTGTGATGAGGCTGATCCACTGCGGATGCATCTTACAGGCGTGGTGCTGGTGCAGCGCCCGGATCACCGCACACAGGAACATGCCTTGTGCTGTGATTGGCTGGCCTGGCAGGTACTGCAGTGACGCCATTGGCTGCTGAGGGTTCACATGCTCTACTTCACTGCCTAGCAGCTCAAAACCGCCCCCGCCGGCACCAACTCCGCTGGCTCCACCCCCTGAAGCCCCCGCCCCTTGAAGCCCTGCGTCTCCACCTTCATCGCTGGGCACCAATACATGGTGCTCCAGCACCACCAGGCTTTGCAGCAGCCGCAGGAGCTGTGACTGCACGGCACTGCATCCATCCAACTGGTCCTCAGACAGGTTGATGATGCTCTCTTCGGTCATCCCCTCCTCTACAGCAGCCATATTGGACCCTCGAACTCGCTGATCATGCCACTTTTGCGCGCTGAAGATGGAGGAGAGCAGGCAATGCAACGTCACCTTCTGCACTTTGCACTTGGACAGCACGTCGCTGATGAAACTGGCGAATCCTTTGGCCGACCCACCCGTTGCTTTAGCTAGCTCGCAGAAGAGCAGAGTTAGCACCTCCACGCTGGTCAGCTGCATGGCGCGGTTTCCCGCCAAATCCTGCGAAGTCGCCGCTACATGCGCCGAGTAGTAGCTCCGCAGGAAGTAGAGGCAGAGAGAGATCACAATTTCCAGGTACATTGCGCTGCGGAAAGAGTGTGAGTGCGAGTCCTGTGGGATCGGGCAGTAAAAGTCTTTGCCCATGACGGAGACACGATGACGAGCCAGGAGGTTCTGCAACAGAGAAAGCTGGGGAGTGTACGTGTTGTTGATGCTAGTAGTGCTGATGGCGCTAACAAAGCCGGCTGGAGCGGTCCGCAGCATCGCGGCTACAGCTGATAGGGCATGTAGTGTACGGGAAGAGTCATAGAGCTGAAGGTAGAGTAGGACGTGCTGGTAAAGAGGATGGACGTTGAAACGGGCAGGGGATGCAGAGGAGCGAGATGCACCAGGGATTCCAGAAACTCCACCACTAGGTGACCCCACATCACTCTCAATCTCAGATACCTCACCTTCCCCACAGCTGTACCAGTTCTCCAGGTCCAGGCTGTCCCCAAAGAAGATACTAGGAGGTCGGTTCTTCTCAGCCTGATTGGCCTTTCGCCTCTCCTCCTCTTTTCTCTTGGCCTTCTTGACCTTAGGCTTAGCGCCGGGTGATTTGTCAGCCAGTCGCTCCATTATCTTGCCCTTGAGGCTGAGCTGGGTACTGCTGTGGCTCCGTTTGCGGGCCTGGGGGTCATCTGGTCGCAAGCCCTGCTCTGGTGTGCCACGCCCGCTGCTGTCTGGAAGTGTGACAATGGAAGGAGACGAGCTGTGCCGGGTTATTCCTTCACGAGGCTCGACGTCTGTTGTATCCGCAGATGCTACAGACAGGAACTCTAACGTGCTTCCAGCTACAAGTTCAGGTAACGTTAAAGCCTGGGTGCCTGGGAATGGCCCTAGACTGACCTGTGGTTCAGCAGACACGTCCAAAGAGGAGTTAGAGCTGTCCGAATCTGTCTGAGGCCATGCCTCTGGAGGTGAAGGTGTCCCAGCCGAACCATCATCCACCATCTGCACCACTTTGTCCAGTAATTCTGCAAGAACCGCAGAAACTGACCTGTCTAGAGAGTCCTCCTCCATAGAAGCAGCCTGATCCGTTGCAGTGGTAGCGGTGCCATCCAGCTCATCAAAGCTGCCGTTATCCATGGTTGAAGACTGAGAGCCACTGGAATCTGAGCTCTGGGGGTCCCCCTGCTGGTCTGGAGGTTGATATTCTCCACACAGTTGTAGGTTCTCACTGCTAAGGCTCAGCAGTGACAGACTGTCACTCAGAGGGTTGACTGTCAGGCTCAATGGTTCCATATCGTCTAGAGGAAGGCCTCTGCCATGCACCACCCGCAGGCTGTCGCCGGACAATCGACAGTATGCTGGAGGACATGCACAATCATCAATATATAGCAATAAAAACAGTAAGAATTCTATAAGAACTCTCAGGTCTGTAACAGTGGACAGTAAACTACAGGAAAGTGGCCCCAGGTGTTGGCTTTTGAATAGGGATGGGAATCACTACATACACCACAATATGACATCATCTCGTGATCCAAAATGGCTGGTGAACCTATATGAGTATTTAAGTTTCTATACATAATGTTGATAATGGTACAATAGTGGTAACTCTGAATTATTTTGCATTGCAACATCCGACAAGCAAATCTACAACAAGTACATCTTTGCCATCATACTTTTTTGACTTTGCAGAACTTTTCAAAGGTGCACTTTTCTTTTGAAAGGCATTTGATGTTTCCTGTAAAGAACATGCACCTGGCGATGGTATACACACAGCATTTGTCACAGGAGTTAGCTTTCCTCAGTATGACCTTGAAGTGAAAATATGACACTATATGCATTAGATATGGATTTTCTTACACTGCGGACAGATGAGAGAACAAAAATCACTATGTTTGTGTAGTAAAATATTAGCGACCCAAAATGTGAAGTCTTCAACGTTCAAGCTTATTTGTAAATAAAATTAGATCCGTTAAAAAGTCTGTTTGAGCTGATAAAGCGTACATACGGCTCTTGAGGCAAGAACAGTTGAGAAATGCTACACAAACACAAAAACATACAGATAGAACAACAATAAATATTAAAAATTCATTCATACACAACTGAAAGTCACACTTACTGTCAGAACAGGCTGTGTCCCCCATACAGGTGAGTTCAGATGGCTCTGGTTCTGGTTCTGGTGGGTTGGGGAAAGCCCGGGCCCAGTGCCGCTGGGCTTGTACGCGCTGGATGGACACACGGTGGGTTTTAGGGTGTAGCAGCAGCAGCAAGAGTGGCTCCAAAACTCGGGCGATATCATGCCTTTGAAGAACTTGATTCAGCCAGGCCCGGCCCACAGCACTCGCTGACCCGTCCCAGTAACTCAGACTGTCCAGCATGATGAAAAGGGACCTGCAGCAGGTAAATATGAGGGAATTAAAAAGAGATCATAAGCCTTTAGTTTTAAGGTACGAAACCTGGGTGTGATCTCAGATTCCGAGCTCTGTTTAATCTGCATGTAAACACAGTCACTAAAGCAGCTTTTTATCATTTGAGAAATTTCATTAAAGTTCAGCCTTTTCTCTCTCAGAGCGACGCAGAGAAACTTGTTCATGCATTTGTTAAAGCGGAGTTGATCACTGTAATGATCTTCTTACTGGACTTCCTAAGAAAACTATATGTCCCTTACAACTCGTACAAAATGCAGCAGCATCCTAACAAAAACAAGACAGAGAGATCAGATCAGTCCCATTTTGAAAGAACTGCACTGGCTGTATCATTCAGGATAGATTTTAAGGTTCTGCTACTAGTTTTTAAAGCTCTGCCTACATCACAGAGTGTCTGTCTGTTTATGTTCCGGTACGTAATCTAAGATCTGCAGATACTGACCTTCTACAGCAAAATACAGAAAACATGGAGAGGCTCTTTCAATTATTCTAAACTGTGGAACTCAACTCCACCTTTTATTAGACAGTCAAGCTCAGTGCTCACTTTTAAGAAGCATCTCCAAACGTATCTCTTTAACTCGGCATTTAATTAAAACTCTACGTCTCGTGGTGTTTATCTTCTTATTTGATCTTTTTCATTTTCTTCTGATTATAAATAACTACTTATGATTTCTTGTATAACTATGTTTTATCACCGGTCTGTAAAGCACTTTCAGCTGCCACCTTCCTGCCTAAAATAGCTCCAGCCCAAATCTAACACACCTGGTCCTATTAATTAAGTGGCCTGATGATCTGGATAAGACATGTTCGATTAGGGCAGGAAGTGAACTCCTTCATGAAGGTAGATCTCCAGAATCAGGACAGACGACGGGTTTACCTGTCAAAAGTGCGGCTGAAGGGGGACGACTTGGTGATATTCAGGTCTCTGGTGAGATGCCACAGAACAGAGAATTTCACATGGGCCTCCAAGCGGATCCTCTGAGAGGGTGAGAAGATAATCAATCAGGAAACAGCAGATGTGTGCGTTTATTAGGGAAGGTGAACAGTGTTATGCAAAGGCCCCTCGTCAAATTACATTTGTTAATGCATCCTCTGCAGAGAACACACTTCTGCACTTTTTGTAATGTACAGTTACTGTTTATTTGCTGAATTTAACACATCGGGGAAAAGAAAAAAAAGTTACGGCAGTCTGGTTATATTTTATGTTTTTTTTTGCTTTTTTATGCTTGTTTGTTTGTTTTTTTTAAATTGCACTAAAATTAACAGAAAATTCCTGTTTTAAGCTTGCTCCGCATACAGGATGTGTCAACTTATTTAGAAAATCAACAAAATATCATTAAAATAATTATGCTCGAATTGTGCCAGAAAGTATATTTTCGTGGCTATATGTAAATGTATCACACTTGGGTGTTCCTTTCTTACAGAAATTCCCAGGCTCAGCTGGACGGCGCCATTGTTGGACTGTGTTCTTCAATAAATTACTCAGCTCATAGGCTGGTTTTTAGTTTCCACTTGAAATGTTGTTATATACAATTTATTTCATAGTTTGGCTGTAATATGAAACATACACTGTATGTTCAAAAGTATACAATTAGCTTGTATAATCTCCACAGATAAGCCAATAAAATGTGAATAGACCACACATGAGTCTAAGGTCACCATGCCCAATGCCAAACTTTGGGTAGTGGTGTATAAAGTCCCCCAACTTCGGACTGTGCAGCAGTGGAACTGTGTTCTCTGGACTGATGGAATGCCATCCAATACCTCTAGGATGAGTTCCAGTGAAGTTTGTGATCCAGAATTAATCATCTAACATCAGTACCTGATCTTACCAATGCTCTTGTGGCTGAATGCAGTTAAATTATCCCAGCAATTTTACACTAGATGTTGGAACATTGCCGGGAGAATTTAATTGCATTCAGCCACAAGAGCACCGGTCAGATCAGGTACTGATGTTAGATGATTAATTCTGGATCACAAACTTCACTGCGACTCATCCCAGAGGTACTGGATGTTCTGCAGCACAGGGGGACAACCCCTCCCCCCATATTAATATCTATGATTTCAGTTTAAAAAAAAACAAAAAACAAAAAAACAACAATGAGCAGGTGTCCACAGATTTTCCATGCTGTGCTTTGGCTTTCTTTATAGAGTGTGGACTGAAGTTTGACACTCCTCTTTACATCCAACAGGATTTCTCTAACTCACAGGGTTATTTACAGTCTAGACACAAATGTGTGTGTGTGTGTGTGTGTGTGTGTGTGTGTGTGTGTGTGTGTGTGTGTGCGCATATTGAGCCACCTTGTCACGGTGCATGAGCTGCTGGCTGATGACGTCCTCGCAAATGCTGGATGAGGGCACCAGATTGTGGAGCTGGTAGAAGAGCTCCACGCTGCGCTGATGATGCTGAGGGGTCGACTCCCCCAACTGCTCCCAAAGGATCAGCGCTACACTCTACAGGGGCAACAGAGAAAAAGTGGAACAATGAGAGTGAGATAAAAAGAAGAAATAGAGAGAACGACACAGATGAGGAGTGAGAGAGAGCAAGAGCGAGAAAGTAAAACAGCGACACACAGCGGCCTCTTTTCCACTGCGGAGCCAAATGGTTCCCAGGGCTGTTCTGTGGCTTTCCGCACTAGTCCGAACTCGTGAGACCACTTAGTTTCTCTTTCTGTCTGCTGTGCTGCTAAATCAGAACCAGGAAATACTGAAGAAAACGACACACAAGGGTGGCTCAGCAACAGCTAAACGCTACAGAACACGATCGATCCTGGCTGTCCCCTTGTAGTCTTTATCGTCTAAGCGAGTGTTATTTGAGCATCAGTTAGCTGGAACCTGGGGCCGGATTCACAAAAGTAACTTAAGAAAGAAAATCTTCTTAAACGTGTGTTTTTTTCTTAACTTCATTCTTAAGGAAAAAAGTTATGAAAAAATATTATTCTTATATATATTTGTTCTTAAATGTTTTCTTAACCTTACGACAGACTCACACTCGTCTTAGGCCGTAAGAGTTCACAAGGTCAGCGTCCAAATTTATCAGTTTATCTACTCCCACCCATTATCTTCCCTTGCTTTCTGCCATCACCCCACAATTATCATATTTTCCAAGGAGGATTTTTTTTTCCTGTTGGCTGATTCTTCCTCCATCACCTCTAGCTCATCTGTTTGATGATTTTTTTTAAGGCTTGCTTTGAAGTTTTTCCTCCATTTTGCTCCTCTGAGTGGATTAAACTAACAGTTAATAGAAATTAAAAATTTATCTTGCATCATTTATTGTTTGGGAAGATTTTCTTAAGAAAATCATAAGAAAAAATTAAGAGTATCTTAAGAGAATATCTGAGAACTTAAGTTTTAATTGCATTTAAGAACATTCTTATGAACTGTTTGTCTTAAGAAACTTCACAAGTTTTTTCTTCAGAAAGCTTCTGTGAATTCGACCCCGAGTCTCTGAGCTTATTTGAATAAAAAAAAATAATAATAAAAATAAAAAAAAATAAATAAAATAAAGAAATACAAAAAGAAATACAGAGAGTAAGAAAGTCAGCACCTTAAAGAAATCAGTCTTCTCAGCGATGTACTTCAGGATGCCCTGGGTGAGCGGTGGTCTGATCACCACAGCGACACGGCCCTGGCTGGGGCTCATCGGCTGGCCAGAGTCGGGACTGCTCACACGCTCAGCTGTCACCATAGCAACGGACTGGGTGAGGCCCACCAGGTCCATCACCAGGGAGATCGCCACTGCCTGGATGCTGAAGTCTGTCGCTGAGCAACAGGCGTCCATCAGAGTTTGCAGCCACAGTGGTGGAAGGACGCTCTCACCATCTGAAACAGACACACACACCACACCAATGAAACACTGTAGGGTTGCAACAATTAGCCAATAAGTTGATCAATTACTTTCAATGATTAAAAAAAATGTCAATGTGGGAAAATTTTATCAAAGAGCAGCGCGTATTGATTTAGCTATATGAGTGGACAAACTTGGCTTCTTCAGAATGTAGACTATTTTAAAAAGTCATGTCCAGCAAGAGACACAGCGGCTGCATGTTCCAGCCAATGAGGGTATCTATCATATATACCATTTATACAGTCAATGGTTCCAGCTTCTCTGCACTCGGTGCAGAAGAAAATACAAGCACAGCTCTATTTTTAATATTTTTTTACTTATTTATTTTTAGTAGTTGCATCTCTCACAAACAGAGCCAAAGAAAATAATATTTGATTGGGTTTGCTCGACACATGGCCCAAGTCTTTACCAATCAGTAACACTGTGGGTGGGACATTGAGAGAGGCTATGTAAGTTTTGATTGGCTGTACTTGACACGGCATACTTATTTCGACCATATTTATTTATTTTTTTCGAGTAAGGCTGCAGGGCGAACACTGAACAAGAGCATTTCTTTCAGTTATGGCTGTGTTAGGGATGCACATAACTTACATATAAGCTTTTTATCAGCAAGAAAACTTTAAAATGTTGATTCAGATTATCATCAAAACAACAAATATCGTACTGTATTTTTGGTTGACCCTGATTCCTAACATCTTCACTTTAAATCAAGTGTGTTGATTCCCAGTTTGCAGAAGCCAGTTACAGTTTTTTTCTCACCTGCTTGCTCTTCTCTGGTAGGAGAGGACTTCAGGTTGCCCTCGGCGATGTACACAGGGAAACTGGAGCACTCCAGAAAGAGCTGACACGCAGCGGTAAACGCAGCCACACACTCCTTCTGTTCAGACACACTCTCCCTCTCCTCTGGCCCTGCCACTCTCAGAGTGTCCATCCGCGAGGTGCTGTCACCCGGAGCGATGTACAGCTTCACCAGGCTGCACAGGAAGTGCTGGAAGTGTTCTAGGCAGCGCTGCATCACCGGAGTGTCCTGCGGTTTGCTGTGGGGTGTAGAACCGGACCCTTTGTGTTTGGGTCGCATGGGTCCGAGGTCATCACCCTCTGAAAGCTGAGCTGGGTCAGCCTGCTGCCCGTTCTCCCCTTGGTACTGAACAAAGTCGGTGAAACCGCTCTCAGAAGAACGGCTGCTGGCAGGGTTCTCCCGGTCCTCAAACACATCCTCACTGACTGGAACCTCCAGCGCTGCAGGGAGAGCCTGCAGAGAGAAAGAGAGATAGAGGGAGAGGGAGAGAAAAGAAAGAAAGTAAAAAAGAATGGAGAAAACAAGAAAGAAAGCAAAAAAGTAAAAAAGTCTCCAATCATCAGTGCAAACTGCTGAGTTTCAAAGCTTCACTTGAAAAGATCTCTGAGCAAACAGTGCAGAAAGGCAGCTGCTTGTTTTTAGTTCCTGCACTTGTGAAACCCAGAGTGTGCAACTTACTGCTGTATTTTCTTTACTTCAGTTTTCTCGATTTTATAGTCTGAGATATGGTGGCCCCTTCACCTGTAGATGGCCCAGTCTTGGGGCGCTTTTCTTTTGAAAGACCCCTTCAATCACTTGTCCATCATGGATGAGTTCCATATGAATGAAAAGTGAATAAATAAATAAAATAAAAAAGCTCAATATAAATATGGTGTTATATTTGTGCAGAAAATGATTATTTAATATTTATCTCTGTGGAATTTTCCCAAAGATCAGATTAAAGAAGCCCAGATCAAATGAAATATGCCCACATTCAAACAGAAAAAAAAAAAACAAAAACAACAACTTCTAGTTAATTCCAGACAGAATAGCATTAGACCAGTAAAATGGGCTCAATCAATTTACCTCATGCCACCCAATAAGATATAAATTGTATTGCCATGTAAGATTTCATTTCCCTTGTCTAATAAGGCCATTACCAAAAAGGTTGTAGAACACAGTGGTTCTGATTTGAATATGAGGATAAAGGAATCGCGCCAAGCACCACTTCCAGTCACCGCTGTCTGCTACTAGTGTTTGATATACATTACCCTGAAGTCAATTCTACAAGAGTACTAGCCCAGCAGGAACGCCAGGTTCAGCTAATTATAAGAAATTTATAATTACTTAGCAGACTTTTAAAACTATAGACATTGAAGATGTAAGGCATATTGGATTAAAATCACAAGTCGTGTCAGTCATCTAAATCTCTGAGTCTCCTATACAGAGTGCGAGGGAGGCAATATGGTATGCAGTCAGCTAAAAATCTAAAAAGCTATTATGAGCAGGCCTGGGCGATAAGGCGATGTAATCAGATATCGTTGATGGCGTAAAAGGCTGATTGTTTTGGTGAAAGAGCTGAGAGAGAATTATGAGGACTAATTTATCATTAAACAGCTTGAAAGATACGTTGGGAAACTGGGGTTCACGAATCTTGTCAGTAATTCTACTTCTTGTTGTCTTTAAAGTTAGCGTTTCGAAGATACAAGGTTTTATTACTATGGCTACAATAAGTAATGTGTTGTGTTTTCTCTGTTGTGTATGCAAGTATTTTTGGGAGATCAAGTTAGTATGAAGCAAATAAGATCATTTGGACTGCTCTCCGCTACACTTCATTCATCGTTAACTATACCTTTGAAGAGTATTAAAGTCCATTCCTGTCCGATGATGCCTCTGTTCCTCACAAGCAAGCCCAGCTGATGCCCTATCTACACTCAACCACTCCCACAATGCACTGCAGCCCGTTCCACCTAGCCTTCATCCCAGCAGGCCTACGAAGAGACACCCAGGACACCACACTTCAATGGTTCCCAGCATGTAGCCCTGAGGCACCCCAACGCAGGACTCAGATGGTAGCCGTGCTCTGGGGCTCTGAGGGGTTTGGAATTTTTTCACAAAGGCTGGATGGTGTATAGACAGGCTTCACGCTCCAGTGGAGCAGAGCGCCCCCTGAGTGTTGGAGAATTAGGCCTCCACAGAGACAAAGGGATGCAGCTGAGCACAAACCACTCAACCCCACTCAACCCTCTGCGCCCTGGCACCACCAGGGAGTCTGGCATGGCCTTCAGCACAGACACACACACACACACACACACACAGAGGATCAGTCAGGTAGGGGACAGGCCACAGCACATGTACCCTCACACGCTCCAGTCAAAGGCCAACGAGTGAGGGATTTGGACCATCCTGCCCACTGGGCCCAGGGCAGGGTAGTTGGGGTGGAGGTATGCAACCAGAGGCATCGGTTGGATGGTTGTGTCCAGGCCAGAACCCATAAGGCACAGACCGAACAAGTCAAAAAGGCCAGACTTCCACTGCTGGGACAGATTTCAGAACAAAGCCAATCAAAGCAGGCATCAACACTCATACATAAAAAAAAAAATGCTTCAGTTTGAAGTCAAAACATAAAGGCTATGTTTTCTAAGGCACTGCAGTACAAATAATTACAGTTCTTTCATAATAAAACATGACAGACATTAAGAGAGATAACCTTTGAGCCCCTCACTAAAACTAAGCGCATCCTGCATACTGGTGCCAACGAGCTTCAGGTTCAGCTAACAACAAAGTTGCATGAAGCAAAGGGACAACAGTGGCACCCAGACACCTACAGTAGAGGTTCGCATATGAACCTTAGCTTTACCTTAGCTTTGTGCTGTCTACTGCGTTTGGTGCTGTGGTGGCAGAGTAGTTAAATATAAGTTACATAAAACAGAGAAGTTTTCTTACTGCTTTAATCCTTTTATTTCCATAAAGAGATGAACATCGTCTGCAGAGGATGCACCCACTTGAGGCAAATTGTTCCATGTCTCCTCTCGAAATACATTGTTTTACACCACTTTGCCAATTAAATTCACCCAGTCGCTTCTGACCTTAGCACCTTACAAAGGGGCCCTTCTATAGGATAAGGCCTCGTTTTCCTCTTCTTCTTTCTCACTATTGTTTTTAAGCCCACTAGACAACATATCACCACATGTAACATAATGCATACATTGCAGGAGGCCTTCAGGGAGACTTCTGGTGCTTTTTCTGGCAAATAAACATTCACAGGTCACCAAGTTCACATCCAATGGAGCACACGACATCAGCCCCACATGGTACCATGAGGCACAGTGGCTACATACACTACAGCTTGTACTTGTATATGCAGCTATATGCAAAATTTAGGAAGTCCAGGTCAAATCATATATATATAACCTAAGTAGTGATTTATATTCTTGTTTTAGGTCTATTCTCACTTCTAGCTCTACATATATTGTTATTTTAAGGCCTAACGAGTGGACTGAGACTTTACAACTGGAAGGGTGTCCAAAATTTTGCACATGCTACAATAATTTTAACAATATTTTTATGTTAATGCAACATAAAAAAAAGGTATATTAAAACAGCATGTTGTGCCTAAACTTGTGCATATAACTGTCTCTGGGCCAGAGTTTGTTTATATGTTCTGCATCATATTTTGCTAAATGTGTTCTGCTGTTGTGACTGTAACTTGAATGTCTTTTTTTATTTTTATATATTGTCTTATTTTCTGTATAGGTGCACACTATACTCACCCGACGGCCCTCGAGGTCTCTGGCGCCGGCAGAGGGGAGTGTAAGGGGGGAGACCAGCGGCGGCTGAACTTTACTGAGGATTTTGGAGCAGAGGCGCAGGCAGTGCGTGAGTTCCCCCAGACACAGCGCCCTCAGGTGGGCTGTCAGTGCAGAGACCATCCGCAGCAGGAGCTGGGGCAGGTGCTCCGTCTGAATCTCTATATACGTCTCCTATACAGAGTGTGAGAGAGGCGTTAGGGCGTGTAGTCTGATAAAAATCTGCTGTTATGAGGGTCTTTGTGCCAACAAGCAACTGTAATGTTAGACAACCAGTTCATAATGTGTCTGTTTCTTTACAGCAACCATAGAGACGCCATCTCAAGCCTGCTTAATACTTTCAGTAAATGATATAATCCATCCACTACATAGAAACATTGTAGGCTTGTATCTTTATTCGTTTCGGAGATGTAGATGCTTTAAAAAGCAGCTCAAGAATTAAAAACGTTTAATATTATATAAAAAATAAAAAAAAATAAATAAATAAATAAATAAATAAATACATAAATAATAATTATCAAAAGTGCACTTTAATTTTATGAATTGTTTTTTGTTGTAAGTGCTTTAACTACCAAAACTGCAGATATAAAGTGGTTTTGCTAATTTTTAAAAAATATGTTTATGTATTTATTTTTTGTGCATTAGAGTTAGACTTTAATCCTCTATATCTACACTGACGAATACTAGATTTTTCAAACTTTAATATGTTTTATTCACATCACAGTACACCTTTGGCAACTAGGTAAAGGCCTTTTATTAAACAAGATTTTTGATTTATGAACAATTAAATGTAATTAATTAATTAATTAATTATGCATTTATTATTATAATTTCATTTCTGATGTTACACTGTAGAGCTCTGTTCATCATTCAGCAACACAAATTGGTTTAAATTATGAAAAACATTGATTCCATTGGTTTTGAATAGCAGTGTATGTCTCTGAAAAGCCTCTTATAGATTAATGAAGATACAAGCCTAATTTTGCACACTTTGTACTGACCATAATAACATTATAAGAGTACTAAACAAATCCTGAGATCAGCTGTGAGGCTGTTAGTGATTTCACACTGATCCAGAAGTGTAAGAGCATGCAAAGCTCTGGTTTACCCTTCCACAACATTCCCAGCACCCCAGCAACATGGAGATCTGTGTAAAAACAGACCCCCTGACGCTGCGCGCTTAGAAAGATTCTGATCTGTTTAACTACTACTATCATGGGTAAAGCACTGCATGAGCGTTAGTGGAAGAGTAGGCCAGCACGAAGACAGCAGGAGAGGGAAGAAGAGCAGTACTGTACCTGGCAGATAACCCTCATGCTTCTAGTGGGCTTTGAAGAGGAAGGAGAGAGAGAGACAGAGAGAGAGAGAGAGAGATAGAGAGAGAGTGGAGATTTTCAACCAGAGAAAGGTAAGCAGAGGGCATTGGCAGAAAACAGATGGCAGCAACCCAGTTTAACATAGAGACTAAAGGCACAGCTCTCACTGAGTGTGTTCATATGCAGTTTCTGCAGTTATATGATTATTCAAATGGTCGTGTAAACAGCGCACACTGATTTCTTAGATCAGAGTAAAGTCTAGAAATCTGATAAAATCAGATAAAGAGGCTGGATTTTAGCTCAGTGATCAGATTTCTCAGTGTATGTAACTCTACTCTGATTTCTTTCGGATTTCTCAGTCTGCGCATGTGTAAAAACAGACGACAGTACCAGAAATAAGCGAGCAGCGTCGCGGCGAGGCGCAGCAACACTTTTTTTAGATGATGTCTGTTCATATTTTCAGGTAAAAAATGCTTGCTTTAGAAAGAAAAGAAAAAAAGGAGTTTCCCCATTATCTGATTACTCAAGTGCATGTAAATGCGCTAATCAGATTAGTAACACAATCTGATTTTCTATGGTTATCGGATCATTAAATGCATGTAAACACACTCACTGTAAGATCTGCTAATGAAGTTAACATCTGTACTACTGAGCTCAGACAAATGATCAAGGCTTTCCTACAGAGCTTTAGCACAGAGGAAGGCTAAAGAAGAGACTATTTAACAGCAGGATGCTAACTAAGGCCAACTAATCTAACACTTTTTTTTTTAAACACACACACACACACACACACACACACACACACACACACACACCCAAAAGAGCAGACAGAAAGCTCTCTCAGCATTTTCACAGTATGGTAAAAACTAGGGGTGATGTGTCAGCCTGAATGTGACAATTCAACTGCATAGGTTTTGAAATATTAGAATCAAATACAAATGATTATAATAATATTCAGGAAAGTCTGAGCTCATTTTTTTCGGCCAAAAGAAAATTCTCTGTCTATTTTCAAATGCAAAATAAAATTCAGTACATTGTTTTTATTTTCTCAGACTACTGTACAACTAGTTCCCCAAGTTACATTCAGTTTATTTTTAAAATTAATTCTGAATCATACGAAAACAACCATTGAGAAGATGCGCTGATGTCTTCAATAACTTCTTAAAGACTATATAGGCCTGTCACAATTATTAATCACATAATCACCAACCTGCAAATACTTAAGATGATCGCATTTATTAAAATGGTTATAATTATTTAAGCTGCCTGTAACCATTTTCCACAGAGGTCATATTACACAGTTATACTATGCTGCAACAAACAAAATGTGAATTGGGTTTGTTGGTTTGAGGCAAATAAATATAAAGGAAATATATAAACATACAAATAAAATAAGTATAAATAAAAATAACTAGTAAATGTGCTCAATAAGACTTTGTGGCACATTCCAGGACTGAGTATGTACTTGTGAGCTATGTAGCTAATTCTCATGTTTTTAGCCTGTATGCTAGCAGAATGAGCGTTAGCTAGCAAGTATAGTGGGCTATCCAGTCAATTTGGCCACTTTAGGCTTGTATTTTTTTTGTTTTTTTTTAATAGTTGCAAACAAAGAACAAGCAAAGACAATTAAATCATTAATTACAACTATTTATACGACATATTATTTATTATATTTGTCAGCTAAAGTTTCAGCCATCATATAATGCATTTGTGAGTGTGTTACATACCAAAGATACGATGTCCAACAGAAAGTCAACCAGCTGACAGAACTCAACTAGAGAGAGAACAGAAGGCTCAGAACTGCTTTGAGTCCGTCTGCAAGACAAAAGCAGAACGCCATTTAAGTGACTATGTCACACACACACACACACACACACACACACACACACACACACAATAGCAGACGTACACACCTGCAGCCCTCCTCAAAACAGCGTGCGATATAATCCCACATGTAGTACGGCTCGAAGGAGTTGAATAACAGGTTGGCCGTTTTGATGAGTTCAGCCGTCTTCTTGTTCTCTCTGAGTTTGCTGGACGAAGAAAAAGTGGGAGGAGCATTATTAGGGTTCAGCAGGTGACCTATTGCTGTGTCCAGAAGAGGGCGGAGTGGGCGTGGTCTGGACTGTACCTGCTGAGCTGTGTCTGGTCTTTGCTGAAGGGATTCTGGTTCTGCAGGTCCAGTTCGGCTCGGCACTGCGTGTGCAGTGTCCGAAACACTTCTATCAGGACGTCCTCCAGGATCGCAGGACCTAACAGAACCACAGGTATTTGTGTTAAATGACTTCATATGTTCCTCTTTGGAAAAACAGCTGATTATATGAACAGAAGAAAAAGCACCAGAAATCATCTGAACAACAGTTTACAGTGGCAAGAAAAAGTATGTGTCCCCTTTGGAATCACCTGGACTAAATATTATTATTAATACTACTAATAATATTATTAATATTAATGATCTATTGGTTTAATTATTTGTTCCTAGGACCATTCAAAGTTTAATGTTTTGCTATTTTGGGCATGGCACTTTTTATTCATTTATTTATTTATTTTGCACAGGAGTGTATATACACACATTATTAGGTACACCTCTTTATATCTACACTCAGTGGCCATTTCATCAGCTCCCCTGACCAAACAGAAGCACATTGTAGTTTTACAGTTACAGACTGTAGTCCCCCCTTTCCTATTTAATAATAATAATAATAATAATAATAATAATAATAATAATAATAATAATCTTTTACAAATAATAACACAAAAGTGTATTGCTGTTGTTCATATTGAATACATCATTCAATTCAAACATTTACAGTGCAGTTTGTAAAAAGTACGTGAAACCCTTTAGCGAATGGCATCATCAAAAACAAATCAGTGACAGGAGTTAGCAAACCTGCAGTCCAATCAATGAAACGAGACTGGACGTGCGTGTGTGCGTGCATGTGTGTGTATATATGTCAGCCTTTTCTGCATTAACTGAACATGTGATCTGTTCTTCATCTAAGTAACAAGTGTACACAAACACAATATGCCAAATCTGATAACACAAACAATTATGATCTTTCATGTTTTTATTGTGGACACCAATTAAACATTCACAGTGCTGGTAGAAAAAGTAAGTGAGCTCCTGGATTTAATAACAGACACTTTCATCAGCTGCAGATTAGACCTGCACAACGTTTACGAGGAATACTGGACCATTCTTCCATATAGAACTGCTTCAGCTCAGCCACGTTCTTCAGGTGTCTTCAGGGGTGAGCGGCTCTCCTGAGGTCAATCCGCATCACCTCTGTTAGGTTAAGGTCTGGGATCTGACTGGGCTGCTCCTAAAGGTGGATTTTATTTTTTTGAAAACGTTTAAGAGTTTTGGATGGTAAAGCCAAACTTCAGGCCTCCTTACCATGGTTTCTATGGCAGGACATCATGCCTGTTCAATGTTTTTCATATAGTAGAAACATGAACAGAGATGTTAACCAGTTCCAATGATTCCTTCAAGCCTTTAGCTTAGTTACTCTGAGGTTCTTTTACTCCATGGAGAATTTTGTGTCGTGGTCTTTGGAGTGATCTGCGCCTCCAGGGAGACGAGACATTGTCCCAAATTGTCTCCATTTCTTGTCTAGTCTATATGCAGACTGATGAATCCCTAAACTCCGAGATCACTCTGTAACTTTTTCCAGCTTTATGCAAATCAACAATTATTGATCACAGATCTTCTGAGATCTTTTTTTTGTAAGACATGGTTCACATTAGCAGATGCTTCAAGTTATAAGGCTGACACACACACACACACACACACACACACACACACACACACACACACACACACACACACACACTTCTAATCTCTTTTCATTGATTAGAATCCAGGTTTGCTAACTCCTGACACCAATTAGTTCACATACTTTTGTAAACCTACACTGTTAATGTTTGAATGATGTATTCATTATGAATATTATTTTTGTGATATGTTATTTATTGTAGCTTAGATATAGAACAGACCATATTTTAAGACCACTTTTTACACAAATGCGGGTAGTCCCAAATACTTCACACACCTTCCGTTAAATTAAAAAAACAAAAACATGTGAAAGTGTGTTATGTCAGTCATACCCAGCTCAGGTTTGTCCAGCAGGCTGATGAGGATGCGGAAGGGTTTCAGGTCATGCATGAGGGCACTTTCCTCCTCCCCACCCCTCGCCTTACCCTGCAGAATCCCAACCATGGCCTGCAAACACACAATACACACGCCAAGTTACACTCTGGATGCACACTGTCGCACAGCTACACTCCAGAATCTCCAACACACAGCACATTCTCTCCAAAGCACCAGCACGTATTCTCACAGAAATCAGGAATAACAAAGAATTAGCGAATTTGTTTATACTTAACAATAATAATAAAAAAAAAGCTTATGTCACACCAATCAGCATCATGAAAACTGCATGGCTAATCATCACTCATTCGCCTCAAACCATATTGAGCTGTTAAGTAATCTCAGACAAACATGCCTTATGTAGTGCTGAAACTGTTTTAGTTAATCAGTCAGTGACTCAGGTGTCTTTCGTGAGTCAGTCATGCCTCTGTTCTGCTAGCACACCTTGATATAGAGTCTCTTTTTTCTTCTGTTCTTAGAGCCAATAAAATTTTGCACAACCACTTTGGGAGGTGTGGCCACAGCAGTGGACAGCAAACAATAAAACAATACAGTAAAATAAATTTAATTGCTGTAAAAAGGTTAAAAGAAATGACAATCTAAATATATAGAAAAGAAACAAAGATTTAATAAAACAACAAAACAGCAAGCAGCCAGAGTCTCTTGATATTTAATATGTGACTGTCTATAACATTCAAGAGTGTGTATAAGCGGCAGAGCGTGTCTCATCTCTGACCCAAAACATTTCACGCTCAAGCTACCACAGTAAAGCAGCAGAAGCTTTACTGCAGTAACTCTAGTTCCCAAATGAGGGCGCTTCAACAAGTGGTTTGAAGCAGATGGCACAGCAACAAACAGCCTGTCCTTCCCAACTACAACCCCAGGAGAACCAGAACGGATCAATAGAGACCAGTGTGTGGTAACATGCCAAACCATACATACATGCACGCACACACACGCACGCGCACGCACGCGCACACACAAGCACACACGCGCACACACGCGCACACACACGCGCACACACACACACACACACACAGTACATCCCAATGCAAGAGTGGACATATGTTCACTTTTAACAAGTAACTCAGCATCTTCACTTTTAAAATCTAAAAGTTGCTCATAAACCTCTTTATACCAGGTGTGTCAAACTCAACCACTAAAGGGGCAATATTAAACATCAACAAATCTGTGGGCCAGAGAAAAAATGTTTTTATTTCATTTTTAAATAATGTTGTGCTACAACTCTATCTGACCACTGTTTATTCAAAACACACAGAACTTCAGGAGTAAAATGAATACTTGAAATATTCAAAATTTAAATGTCCCCAGGAACCAGGTATTTTAAACCTGCCCTTTGCTTGAACTAGACATCTGGCATCCTTTCTTTGCTGCATGTTCTTCATTACTTGGGCTCAATTTCTGTGTGTCTGTAGTGATACGTCAGGTGTGGAATTGCATAGAACTGTATAGAATTGAGGTGTAACCACTGTCCCATAGATTGTTGTTGGGGTGGGAGAGTCAGAGCACACATTACATTGCAGTGCATGCTGGGGACTGTAGTGCAGAGCATTGTGAAATAGCTAAAATAATAGAAAATTAAAATACTTTTGCGGGCCGATAGGATTGTGTCCTATCTGGCCTTGTGGGCCTTGTGTTTGACACATGGGCTTTACACAATTACCAAAAGACAAACCATAATCAATATACCTACATATGTTTATTTATAAGGAAACATATGGAAACCAGGGTCTCAGTCAAATCAGGTATGGTTGTATGTTTGGGGTGATTGTCTTTTAATTATTCTATAACTTTTAACTATGTTTTTTATCAATGTCTAGCACTGTAGATCAATGAGATCAATGTGATTTCAAAATGTGATTTCTAAATAAATTTTATTTACTTACATATTCTATACTAATAAAGGTAATACAATAAATGTTCCGTAATGACCAGCTGGCACTGGAACCAGCAGACAGCAAATATGTGCCTCCAAAACTGCCAGGCTCAACAGGATCTTCACGCAACTCACACAGTAATGGATTTTATAGCTTATTAGAGAAGAAAACAGCCTCATGTAGCATGTAACTCTTTTGTCATGTACGTTTATGCCAAATCTCAAGGTAGATACCTTATTAAATTTACTATAAATGCATGATTATATATTATGAATAGATAATCATTGGCAATTAACTACACCAGCTGTTATAATAATGAGATTAAGAAGAAGAAACATTTCATCCTTTTTTATTAAATATTACTTAGATAATTACTCACTTAAACAGCTGAAACGGCTGGTTTATGCTACTATTAAAATCAAACACTGTTAATATTGACTCTAAACATTTCATCATTGCTGTAAACTCGCATGCCTGTGTGTGTGAGTGCTGTGTGTAGAGCTCAGACCTGCACCAGCATGTCTTTGGAGTAGGTGTTGAAGTAGTGGGTGGCGTGCTCCTCCGGGTTGCTGAGGCGAGTGTTGCGAGGGCCTGTTTTCACACCATTGTTATCAAAACCTGCACAGAGAGACCAATACACACAAACACACACCCACAGTGAATGAAGAGACTATACTGCACAGATTTCAGCTCCATCTAACCTCTACTGTGTTTTGTCTGTAAGCTTTTGTCCACTCATTACGATCAACGATCTAAGACGAACATATACTTGAAACCGAGAAAATTAACTGACATTATAAAAGAGCCAACCTGAAATCGAGTCACTTCACGGCCCTGATCATATTAAGCAAGATTCATTATAATGTGTTTTAAATGCTCTGTTATAGAGAAACCTACTCTATGAGAATTGTTCACAGTGGTGGCGATAGGAACCAAACGTCTGAGAGTTTAATACTGCTGAAAGCTCCCTCACGGAAAGGTATTACATGAAATATTTAGAAAAGTGCTGCCTGATGTCTGAGACATTGTTTTTTTGTGATAAAGTTTTGGCTTAAAGTCTCCTTTAATCCATTTATTTAAATCTATTCATGGCGGAGGGAAACATGCAGGGCGTAGTAAGGCAAAATCGTCCCCAAAGAACTTTTCAGATTTAGGACTTTAAGGGCTACTCATCAACATTCCATATAAACTCAGAAGACTCATGTAGGTTCACTGGTGGTTTTGTATAGTAAATAAAATGTCTATATTTGTGCTGTAGACATGGCGACCCCTGGTTCCTATCACCAACACTGTAAAGACAACAGAGCCCCTCTGAATGAATATGTTTACATCATAAGGACTGAATTATTCAGAGGTTTTGAGAAATTGATGGAATTCCCCTTTAATGGACAGTTACATATTTCAGCATCACAGTGAAACACACACACAGACTTACCATGAAGGTCATCCCCAGCAAGCGGTTTGCACGTAAAAACAGAACAGAGTGGGTGAATGCTAAGGACACGCTGCACACACACATTCTTAACTAATCATCTTAATGAGCCAAACAGACTAAACCCAGAAACAATTCATATCACTCCTTCATTATTCTGCTGCAACAGTGAGAAATCAAAGGGTAGCATATTGTACGTATAAATAAAGTCATTATGCTGTACTAGTGTAGTAATGCAGGGTTATAATGCATTTATTTGCAATACAGCAAATAGATATAATAGATATAATACAGTAAAATGAAATAAAAATTTCTCGTTCTCGGTCAGCCACGTCTGCCAGTCTATTTTGTTTCTCTATTAAATGTATTTACTTGGTTTATTTTTTATAAACAATAGTAACACTTATATGTTTAGCTAGTGAGGATCCATAACTAACTTTTTTCATTTTTTAATAGAAGATTCTAATGTTTCCAGTCAATTTAGTGTATATATGGAAACTCTGAATGCATTTTTTGTTGTTGGGTATGCTGATTCACAGTAATGTTACGGTGCAGAAGTCACACTGGGTAATGTTGAAAAGCAAAAAATCCTGTGTTGGCACATTTCAAATTAGTGGACTTTTGGTTGAAAATCAGGCCTTTTGGTTGACCAAGATAACCTTCAGTTGGGGACAGCCCTATTTTTTTCTTTCGATAAGCAGGATAGATGACAAACACTAGCCTATGGTGTGTGTGCGTATGTGTGTGTGTTAGTACTGTCTATCTTACCCAACAGCCAAGCATAAAGCCGTCGGTTTAGAGACATGTCCCTCCTCAGAACAACGTGCAGCGCAGCAGACAAGATTCTGATCATATCCGGACGAGTGGCCTAAGTTAAAAAAAAACAAAAAAACAAATGTAATAAGTTATAAATGAATCCAAGTCAAGACATTAATTCCAGTATAGCAAAATGAGCCCCTACTAATAAAGAGGGGCAAGCGATTTGGCCAAAATATAACATGAATGAATAGTTTAAAAGTACAATGCACTAACATTAAACTAAGACTGGGCAATATGACAATATTTATTATTATTGTGATAAATTACATCACAATATGCTTGTCTGAGTATATCAAGGATATCGTCAGCACTTTCAACCAACAGCATATTTGATTATTAGTTCTGTTTATTTAGATTTACTGCTGTACAGTATGAAACGTAGGCTACAAATCACTGGACTCACAGTTTGTGACACTACTTTGACTGTTCCACTGAAGCCCTGTAGTTACTGAATAATAAGCCTTTGTATGTAATAAGCTGGAATGTTAAAGGGTAATTAATAAAAATGCTCTATGCCATGCAAAAGGCATAAATTAAATAAATAAATGAATAAACAACTCAATTAATGAACAAGATACACTCTAAGGCTCCTCTTTGTGGGTCCACAATTGCTCAAAATCATAACTAAACTAAATAACTTCAACTTAATTTTATCATACACTCTTTAAAAGGTGGTTTTAAGGATTTTTAGTATTTTTCATCTTATACAGAACCAGGTCAACCCAAAAAATCATTTGCAATGCTTAAAAGATTACTCCACAATGGAGGGGAAAAAAAAAACAAAAAACCTTTGAACAATATTTCTCTTTTTTGGTACTGTGCAGAGGTACTACATAAATTATAGCCCATTAATTATTCTTTATGTACTACATCAAATAACTAGCATACACTGCATAATAACTACATAATAATTTATAGCAATGTGCATAATTCATAGTAGTTATTAATTAATGCAGTGTTGTTACTGAACGACTAGTAGTAAACAGTGAATAATTCATAGCAGATACCAAATTATTCACTGCTGTTACTGAATAATTCATAGCAGTAAATGAATATCCACTGATTTACAGTATATACAGAATAATTCAAAGCAGATAATGAATAATTCCCAGTAGTTACTCATAATTAACAGTAGCTACTGAAATAATATACAGACACATAAATAATGAATGAGCCTGCAGTTTAAGAGGTTGATGAATGAGTGAACAAATGTATGAATGAGTCGTTACCTGACTCATGTGGAAAGGGAAGCAGAAGAGGATGAGGTCAAGTGTGCTTCTCTGGACTAACACACTGGAGTCCTGCACAGACGTGCTGACCGCTTCCACCTGCAGAATCAACACACTGAATACACTCACAGTATAAAACTGAATCACCTCAATCACTTCACAGAACAGACATAATATCAGAAACACATTAGTACTGATTCAATATATAAGTTAATATGTTGTGCCTGCGTTCTGAATAATGCCGTTTGCGTGTGGAACAGAGACATTACACTCTCATTCTCTTGTGTGCGTGTGCTTGAGTGTTCGAGGGCAGAAGAGCAACAGTTGATGTGAAGAAACAGTTTGTAATTTTGTTTTTATCCAATGATTTTTTATTATTGTGTGTTTTGTTACTAGGGTATTGTTTGTGTTTGTGTGTTTTTGCATCACTGATCAACTAAACTTCCTACTTAAAATAGTAAAGCTTGACTTAAAGAACCGAAAAAACAAATGACCTTTATTTAATAAAAAGTTTGATGTCATTATAATCATCACCTATCATTATAGTCTCTATATAAAATGTAAGCTGCAAAAATGGGCCCAATTTGAATTCATTGTTTTTGTGATGTCATGAAAACCTATACATTTCTGCTTATTCATCCTACAGCGTTCTAGCCCTGCCCATTTGTTTTGAAGTTATACAGAGCATTTCAGCCCAGATTGCTTTTATGAGGTACAATACAGGGTAAACAATCAGAACAGAGGTCATTGACATATATTTGCTTTGAAAGCCCAGCAATAAAACAGCTGCTTTAATTCTAAGAGATTAAGAGAGATTGGAAAAAAGTCAAGTGAGACAAGAGAAGAATTATTACTAGACCATGAAACCAAAAAATAGGATCAGGGAAGAAAATATAAGAAAAATGTAGAATATGGGCACTTTAATAAACAACCCAGATCATTCATATCAATGCATTTTTAACGCTATATTATTTCCCAATTAGAGTGGATATTTTTTCTCTCTACACCCTGGAAGAAATCTAATATATCTTTCTTCCCCCATAACTTACTTATTAATACATACTTTACTTCTCAAGATGTTTCTCCAGAAATAAAAACACATACCATGAGCTCAATGTCGCTTCCCATGACATACAGCTGGTCCTCCATAGAGAGTTTGCGGTTGAGGTGCAGCAGGACGAAGCTGACCCCCGGCAGCCTCACGGCCGGACTGGTCAGGATGCTCCCCCAGAGGGCGCTGTAGAACGCTGGCTGCTCCACAGCTGCCGCCACCTTCTCCAGCAGAGTGTTTGTCCTTCATAAATAAGTAAATATCTCATTAAAATATAGAAATAAGCAGGGAGCTTTCCAGCAGCCTCCCAGAAATATTGGGGCATGAAGAAACACTGAGAGGAACCAAGACTCAAAACTGGAGGCCACACTCCTCTGGGCTGCACCAGATTTTCAACTTTGTACACAAAGCAGAAAATAAAAACGGAGACTTAACACCTCCCAATGAGAAGAGCAGGAGCAGGAGACCAAAACTTTATTTCAAATGTATATGATTTCATCATCCTGAGTCCATTATCAGCACACAGAGCAAGAGTGTAATATCTCACAACGATTCGATATGACTGTAATATGATTCCTTAGGAAACTATTCGATGTAGAGCTGCACGATAAATTGTATTTTTTTTTATTGTTAAGGGCAGCAACAACAAAACAGATCAAACTACCTCACAAACGCAGTGCCAGAGTGACCTGGTTAGACCGGTGGTGTTAGAGACACGTTAACGTTTAATATGTTAGTGTTACACATGTAAGCATTACACACACATACGCAGCTCAAAAACTAGTCTATTCCAGCCTGTAAAATGTTAAAAACAGTAAAGGCTACTGTCAAGAAGCTATGTACATATAGACATACATATACATACACATACATACATACATACATACATTTGCCATTAGTTATCTAGTTAACACTGCTGGTTACAGAAATATTATCATTGAGAAACTCAGGCTTGTTGCCGTGGCTCAGGAAGCCAACAACTGTTGCAGCCAAGCTTCAACTGAGTTGCAGAACTTTACATTTTGCACAGTAGTGAATGGTGCTTTTGTAATTTTATATTTTCTGCTAATAAACATCTGAACTTGCTCAGCATTCAGTCAGAAATCAATAATTTCTCATAATGTCACTGTGATAATAGACAGTTCATCAAACAGTGCATGTTATGTCCACGCTGTGCTGCCTTAATTCAATGGATCAGGAAAGTCAGCATGATTTGCCAAACTTTTTTGGGATTTTTAAAAAATGAGAGCATGTTTTATTACTGATATTAACGCAGTTTTCAATCACTGCCTTCCTGCACTGGTACACCTCTAAAACACACAGTCAGCCTATGTCAACAAAGATAAACCAATTTAATGTTGTCTAACCTGTCATAGTACTCAGAGCCCTCCTCCAGGCCAGGAAGGACCCCCGTCAGCAGACCCTGCAGGCCCGGCTTCAGCGTCTTCCCCAGCGGGAGGTAGTAGGTCTCATACAGGCCCAGCAGGACAGGCTTTACGGACATAGCGGCATTGGACAGCAGAGGGAAGAGCCCGGAGCTAATGCAAACAGCCAGAGAGACCAAGACAAATCAGCTACGTGTTAAGAGAGCATGACATCCAAATAACCATCAATCATAATAACAGTGAGAATTATTTGAATAGCAATAAGAACAGAGTTTTCTTTTCCAACACATTAAGAGAAATCTCCACATTACTGCCTCTTCTGTGCAACTGAATGTGTGAAAGGCTGAAACAGGTCTTTAATAAGCACAACCATGCGCTGCTAATGAATGTTTTGAAGCCGGCCAGCACATTTAGACTGATATGAATGTGGGAAGAAAGAAAAAAACACGCTAGAAGAAATCAAAGATTACAAGACTCTGGTGCATCTTTAAGATGTTGGCAGTGCATTTTCTGGCATTAAAATTCAGTTTATCGGCAATCAATAAATGAAATCTATCAGCATCTCACAAATTGGCTCAAACCCACCTTGTGAGAAAAGCGCTAGCATTTAACGTCAAAGTGAGTTGATGAAATACAGCTCTTAAAATAAACTACTGTTGCCACAAATGTCTTAATCAACCAACAACAGGCAATAACACTTTATAATTCTATATAGAAATCAGTTGAATTTTTGGGGGGAAAAAGTCTGGTTCCATTGACTTGTGTAAAAAGTAAAGTATGTTTTTTCCTTCTCCTGTAACATCCACTTGCTTCTCACACTGCACTGTATTAAAGTATATATTTTGTATACTGTTTTTCCTTTGCTCCTATAGTAACACTCAGCAGTTCAAGTCAACTCAAACAGACACTGTTTGTACTAACACAGCCCCCTTACCTGTACAGGAACAGGTCTTTGGCCAGCCGCTTGGGACCGATGATCTTGAAGATGATCTCATAGGTCTCCAAGGCCTTGCGATGGACCCCGCTGGGCAGCGCTGGATGAAGGCACTGGGCCAAACGCTTGCCGATCGTGAGCTTCTTGGGCACAACCTGGTACTTGGCATTGTTTTGCAGTACCTATTGAGTACATCATGTGTGAAACACTACAGTACAGCACAAGGTATTCAGTGAAAACACAGCAAGAATAAGAAAAAATACACAAAGATTCATTATACTTGTATAACAGACTTTAATATTACAACAACTAATGATTCTGAGTAATAACTACAACCCTAATAAACCTACTAATTACAGTGCTTTTCCATTGGAAACCTCATAATTAATCCTGAAGAGACCACAGAGATTCATGATCACGGTTTAAAGAGGCAAACAAGCATGACTATGTTATTTATTGTGTGATGTAGTATTTATAGTGCAGCATTCATAATTTTGTATTAGTTTCATGTTTTTATCCATCAGTGTTCTCTCACTACAATACCTAGCATGCAAATACATCCCACAACCCTTATTAAATCCTATGGCACCCAACAAATCCTGACTGATAGCCAATGATCTAGAGGCTAATAAACACATATGTGGTGCTGGCTAGCGTTAGTGATACAGCACTAATCTCAATGGTCAAACTTTTTTTTTTTTTTTTGTTAATGGAATAATTCGGAAATATCCACCCAAAGCACTTGTAGTGTTTCCAAATGTACTTCCACCTTCAAGACACATAATCAGAAATCAGAAAGGGGTCTTCCTAGTATTAAAATATAAAATCCTGCTCTAGGGAGAAGGCTTTAACTTCTACTGCACGGATTATGAGAGCAATTAAAAACAAACATTCAATTCACATTTTCTTGCATGAATTCGTTAAAAAATGATTAAATTCAAAAACATTCTAAAATATCAATGTGTGCAGGGGTCCATTAGGGGTATGTTGGCCTGAGGCAACATTGTGCTACAATGGGAAGAAATTATATAAATCTGTGTTCCCTGAAGTGGTGAGATCGGGCTTTGTGACTGCCGAAACCCAGTCACTGCCTTACAATGTTGCTTCTAGGCAACAAACATACTTTGGTAAATTCTCAAAAAAACAAAACACTGAATGTTAAAAAAGAGAACTTAATAAAAGAGTTTTAAAACTCTTTCCTTTACTGTTAACCCTGTCATTGTCGTTAAATATGTATAATGTTAGTGTAAAGTGAAGAAAATGGGTTTGTTGCCTAGAGGCAACATTGTGCAATAGAGGGTTAAAATAATAGGATTTTTACAACGGATCTAGCAATGATTGCATTTTTCATTTTGGCCAGAGTGACAGTGACATATTAACTGCAGTAAAACTGATTTATGAGACAGAGACAGAGTGAAGGACCTTGTTGAGCTTCCCAAGTGCTGAGATGAGATCGGCCCATTCGCTGGAGTACTCAAAGTTTTTCAGTGCTTTGTCCACAGCCGCCACGTAGTTCCTGTATTTAGAGTCACCGAGCAGCTCCACCTCCTCCGCGTTCATCCTCCCGTACTGCGGCACTAACAGCCAGTTCCCTCAGAACACAAGCTCATCACACCTGCAGGGAAAAAGGATGACCTAAAGGTTACACTGGGATAAAGAAAGGAAACATTCTGGCTGGTGATTTGCTGGCAAAATAAACGGTGGGGAGCCACATAGAGAACCTCCACACAGTGTTCCTAGTAGGTGTGTATGGCTTATGCACCTCAACTGTGCACTAACGCTAAAACAGGAGTCCAGTTGAGAACACGGCTTGAACAAACACGTAAAAAAGAACCGGACGTTCTGGAGCGGCAGAATATGAGAGTAAGGTTATATCTCTGTGATGGCATTTCTGATCCAGAACCTTTGGAACGAGCTGGAGTGATCTAGAACCAATCATCCAACATCAATGCCTGACCTCACTAATGCTCTTGATGATGGATGTCATCTCAGCAACGTTCCAGGATCCAGCTACAGTGAAGCGCAGAGGCCGTTGCTGCAGCAGAGCGGGGAACAGATCTATAGTCTATAATCTATGAATACCTATGATTTCAAGAGAAGCCTGGATGAACTATTGGAAATACAAACGTGTAATATAAGTGACTTCTTTACCAAAACAGTCCTCGAAATCTCTCATCACGGCCTTTACAGCCAAGCAGTTCGCCGCACATCCAGCAGGGAGTCTTTCGGTACAAAGCCGTTCAGCTTCACCGCCTCTGCTGCTTCACCGCCGGCCGGTGTTCGCGAGACGGAGAGGCACCGAGGCTGTAAATTAAACGAGTGGGTCGGGAGATCTACTCACTGCAGCGGACGGAGGGATCCGGAGTGAACATCCAGGCTTTTCTACCGAGATCCCGCTTTTCTCCTCACTGATTTCGCTCAGCGGAAAACGATCGGTCAGTTTCCCCGAAACAAATGAACAAAGCTCTGACAACCGACAAACACCATCGAGGGAATCAGCTAAATGTCTGTTTCCCTGAATAACCGGTATCTTATTAATGTCGTCGTGTTTAATATCCGCACACTCGTCTGCTGTGTTTATAGCAGTCGGTGACAGGTGAGGGCACCGCTACCACTTCCCGGTCACAGCACATGACACATTTCACAATAAAAGTCACCACGCCTGTGACCTTTCAGTGTTTCATTTCAATAGGTCGATATACGAATACGCTTTAAAGGAGAAGTCTACTGAATTTTCAAAATTCATGCACAATTCAGTGGATGAGAAAGTCATTCCGAGTGGTTTGATGCGAAATAATTTTAGAGACTCTAATTTCTTTTACAGTGGTGGTGATAAGGATTAAGGGGTCATGGTGTCCATAACACAAATACAACCGATTTACTTTCTATCCAAAACCTCCAGTAACCCTACACCTGTCTTCTGAGTTTATATGTAATGTTGATGATGGTAAGATAGTGGTAAATATGAGAATTAATAAATAAATAAATGAATAAAGAAATAAAACGAATATTGATATTACTACTACTAGTAGTAGTAATAATAATAATAATAATAAGTTTTCCTTGGGAACTATTTTGCCTCACCGCACCCTGCATGTACTCCTACACAATGAATGGATTAAAAGGATTGGATTTAAAATATGTTTTAGACCAAACCTTTATCGCAAAACTATCACAAATCAATGTCTCTGTCATCAGGCAGTGAATTCATAACCATTTCATGTAGTAACGTTCTGTGAGGGAGCTTTTAGAGACATTCCACTGTCGTTTGTTTGTTATTTGATTTTATGATTATTTTCTGAAGCTGTAAAACGAAGCTATTTCTTGATTTTTCCACAAACAATAACAGTATCAAAAACGAGAACTGACCCGTTTTTTCAACACTGCTTTTGAAATAAAAATAAAATAACCAGAAGACACTCGGACCATAGCAGCACCCAGTTTGTAGTTTAATTATTAATTCGCTGATCAGAGAAGCGAAAACAGTGCAGACAGTTCGCCCCAGGTGTTTTGGGCTGAGGGAGAATTTGTCATCGATGGAGCTTGGATGCCCTCGTGTGGTCAAAATTTGAACCTGCAAGTAGTAGAATAAGAGATATTTTCATATGTGGAAATATTGTGTAGCTGAGTGACTTACTGAATTACTGTGTTTGTGAAGCTGCATAAATAAAATTGAAACTAAAATTACAATTATTTTACTGTAATTATAACGGCCATACCGCATCATTTCATACAGTAGTTCAGCATTTACAGTAAGGAGTCTAATGGTCTTTCTCGGATTTGACGGTTAACGGTTTGACCACAAGATGGCGCCCAAGACTCATCAGTGTTGTCTGCATGAGAGCTGCAGCACTTATTTTCTACAGAAACCCTCTCATAAATAGTAATACATTGTACGTAACACACACACACATACATATTTATGCGTGTGGCATTATATTATTCCTTCAGACTTCTTTAGAGCAGCATAGTTTAACTGTCTGTGACTTGTAATTATGAAATACTTTTTAAATGAAGGGGCGGGGGGGCTGGGAGTTGTCCGCCAAGTGAGCCGTTGATAGTTGTCCAATGATCGTTTGCCTGCATTCAGAAGGGCGGAGCTATAATTTGAATTTCGGTGTCTAGATAAGCCGGTGCCGGGCACGCTTTCCGCAGTTTTCAGTTGTACTCGAAGAAAGGAAAGCCATGCCTGAACCCGCTAAGTCCGCCCCGAAGAAGGGCTCCAAGAAAGCCGTGACTAAGACGGCTGGTAAGGGAGGCAAGAAGCGCAGAAAGTCCAGAAGGGAGAGCTACGCTATCTACGTGTACAAGGTGCTGAAGCAGGTCCACCCCGACACCGGCATTTCCTCCAAGGCGATGGGCATCATGAACTCGTTCGTCAACGACATCTTCGAGCGCATCGCCGGTGAGTCGTCCCGTTTGGCTCATTACAACAAACGCTCCACCATCACGTCCAGGGAGATCCAGACCGCCGTGCGCCTGCTTCTTCCCGGTGAGCTGGCCAAGCACGCCGTGTCTGAGGGCACCAAGGCTGTCACCAAGTACACCAGCTCCAAGTAAGAAGTGACGACAAACTTCAAACCCAACGGCTCTTTTAAGAGCCACCCACGTTTCCGCTTAAAGAGCTTTTTCCCTTGTGTGAGTGAAAGCACGCTGTTTTCTGGAGGTGGAAAGAATGGTACTTTTGTATTCCAGTTCATTTTCCCGCGCATTTTTTTTGTCTTTGCCCAATATACTAAAATAAGTAATTAAGCGCCTATACACAAACAGGTCTATGGGTATGTGTATGTAAAATTAAATGATAGTTTATATATAGTATACAGTTTGTACTCCTTTATAAGCAGACAGCTGTGTAATACCGGCATGTGACACACTCACAGTTTGAATGAGTAGTGTGTATATGCGCTCGTACATTCTCCTCACACAGACCAAGCAAGTCAAAGCACGTAACATAACATTGGAACATTACTTCTCTTTTGAAGTGAAACAGTTAGGTGGCTCTTAAAAGAGCCTTTGGGTACTTTTTGGGGAAAAAGCTGGGAGCGCTCCGTATAAGTTAAGCGCGCTCTCCGCGGATACGGCGAGCCAGCTGGATGTCCTTAGGCATGATGGTGACTCTCTTGGCGTGGATGGCGCACAGATTAGTGTCCTCGAACAGACCCACCAAGTACGCCTCGCTAGCCTCCTGCAGAGCCATGACGGCAGAGCTCTGGAAGCGGAGATCGGTCTTGAAGTCCTGAGCGATCTCCCGCACCAGGCGCTGGAAGGGCAGCTTACGGATCAGCAGCTCTGTGGATTTCTGGTAACGGCGGATCTCCCTCAGAGCCACGGTGCCGGGCCTGTAACGGTGAGGCTTCTTGACGCCGCCAGTAGCTGGGGCGCTCTTACGAGCAGCCTTAGTAGCCAGCTGCTTCCTCGGGGCTTTGCCACCGGTAGACTTACGGGCCGTCTGCTTGGTTCTTGCCATAACGTCAAACTTTGTTCTTCTGCACCAAAGAAACGGAATAACTCTGCGCACAGACCGCGGCCCTTTTAAGGGTTCGAGCTGCTCGCCGCTCATTGGGCGTCTGGAATGTGCCCGCCTTCCATTGGGCGGCTCCCCACGCGCTGTCTAAACGCTATTGGGCGTCTTCTGCCGCGCCAACATTTTCAAATCACAAGACACTGCCCAACGCCTTGGCGGGCTCATGTACCACATTCTTGTTTTTTTCTTTTTTACACGTCCGGTGTAACGTTACTCAGATTTTTGGTTTATTCATCATTGCACGCCTATTATTTGACCTTCACTCGCGTAGTTATAAAGACGTTCATGTAGGTTTATTCATCTTGTATTCGAGTAGAATAAGAGCTTATACGTCACACTTCTAAAGCTTGCACTGTGCCAAAAATGTGTGATATATTTCATGCGCTTCCGTGAGTTCATAATCGTATAACTTGCACGTGTGTGTGTACGGAATGAAACAATAACCTAAACTTGTTATAGTAATAGGATAGGAACATATATAATGTACATGACAGTAGATAAGAGTGCAAAGGAAATGTCTTTAGCTGGGAAGAGAAGGGGGACGGGGGGTGCACTGGAAGTTGTCCGCCAAGTTTTTGGTTTATTCATTATTACACGCCTGTTACTTGACCTTCACTCGCGTAGTTACACAGACGTTCATGTAGGTTTATTCATCTTATGTTCGAGTAGAATAAGAGCTTTTACGTTTCAGTATGCAGTCGTGGGACGTGGTGAAGCTGTGACCTTTTTATTTAATTCTATCGTAAACAATAACCTCTTTATACAGCACTTAAATTAGCACTGAATTAAGTATTGATTGTAAAGTATTGAACTGCACTTATGTATTGTATTGCACTGCTGTGTGTTTAACTCTTCCATTTTCTCTAGGTGTCAATAATGACTGATTCTAGCAGCATCTGAGCTCAGGACTGACTTTCTAACCTATTGGTAACTAGCAAAGATACTTTCTCTGGATAGACAAAGCACTTTTTGTAAGTCACTCTGGATAAAAGCGCCTGCTAAATGCTGTAAATGTAAATAACTTATAACGATCGATCGAAAGTCGAAAGGGGATGAGAAAAAAACTGCACTTTTGTTGATATGGTGGGTGGCTCTTAAAAGAGCCTTTGATTATTTACAATTTAGCAGAAAACAAACAAAAAAAAAGTTATTTGGTCTTGGCCGCCTTCTCGGTTTTCTTAGGCAGCAGTACAGCCTGAATGTTGGGCAGAACGCCACCCTGAGCGATGGTCACGCCTCCGAGCAGTTTGTTGAGCTCCTCGTCGTTACGAACAGCCAACTGCAGGTGACGAGGGATGATACGGGTCTTCTTGTTGTCGCGAGCGGCGTTGCCGGCCAACTCAAGGATCTCAGCGGTCAGATACTCCAGGACAGCAGCCAAATAGACGGGAGCGCCGGCGCCGACGCGCTCGGCATAGTTGCCTTTGCGCAGAAGCCTATGAACACGGCCCACAGGGAACTGCAGCCCGGCGCGGGAAGAGCGAGTCTTGGCCTTCGCCCTAGCTTTACCTCCGGTTTTCCCCCTTCCACTCATTTTTGCACTTCAGTTAAGTTTGATGAACTAAGCTGAAATAAAGAGCTTCGGTCTCCGAACGCCCTTTATATGAAAAAGCTGCTACGTTTCTATTGGCTAAATGCGATGGCCTCCAACAACCAATCATATTAGCGTCGTCAAAGTTTAGGGTCCGCCCACCGTTTCTCTCCAAGCTCTCCGCACCCCCCCTCCCCGTCGTGTGTGTGTGTGTGTGTGTGTGTGTGTGTGAGTGAGAGAGAGAGAGAGAGAATACATAAGATCCTTTGGGAGATAAAGATAAATTATATGGTGTAGACATATATTAAATAGTTTTTTTTATTATTGTTCATACTTTTTTATTATTAATTGATAAAACTTTCTCTTGTTAATTGTTTTTTGCTATCAATCTCGGTTTTGTAATTATTATTACCTTTTGATATAGAATTTTTGCAGCGCTTTAACAGTACAAATGTAAGCCTAAACTGAACTGAGAGAAAGAGATAAAGACAAAGAATGAAAGAAAGAAAGAAAGTCCCTGTTTCCTCGCTGCTTTTCTACCCCATTTCCGCTCCTACTCTCATCCATGTAAATGCAAACGGCAACTCGATTATAATGACGAGCCTGGCAGTTTCCTATAATATCACTACTAACTAGTAATGACAAGCTTTTGAGTGCAGCACGAAGGAAAATCTAACTCTGAGAGGAAAATGTGGGTGGCTCTTAAAAGAGCCGTTTTTTCAATAGGAAAAACAGGACATGAAGGTAAACAGCACGTTTACTTCTTCTTGGGAGCCGCCTTTTTCGCCGTCTTGGGCTTGGCAGCTTTGGGCTTAACAGCCTTTGTTTTCTTCGGGCTCTTGGCCGTCTTCTTCGGGGCCGCCGGCTTCTTGGCTTTCTTGGGAGACTTGGCGACTTTCTTGGCGGCCGCGGGCTTCTTCGCCGCTACCGTTTTAGCTTTTTTCGGCGACTTCTTGGCGGCCGCGGGCTTCTTCGCCCCTACCTTCTTGGGCTTCTTGGCCGCGGCGGGCTTTTTGGCGGCCGCTTTCTTGGGTTTGGTCGCTGCTTTCTTTGCCGGCTTCTTCTTGGCCTCAGCTTGCTTCTTGTTGAGCTTGAAGGAGCCTGACGCACCGGTGCCTTTGGTCTGCACCAGGGTGCCCTTCACCACGAGGCTCTTGACGGCGAGCTTAACGCGGGAGTTTTTCTTCTCCACGTCGTAGCCGCCGGCGGCCAGGGCTTTCTTGAGGGCGGCGAGAGACACACCGCTCCTCTCCTTGGACTGAGAAACAGCCTTGACGATGAGCTCGCCGACGCTGGGGCCGGCTTTCTTGGGCCGGGCAGCGCTTTTCTTCTTGGGAACTTTGGCCGGCGCGGCGGCTGGAGCGGGAGCGACTTCTGCCATCGTTCTGCTTTTGCTGCGAGCGGAGCGAGAAAGAGCACAAACTGCACTGTTCAGAGGAACCTCCCTCTCAGGCTGGGAGCCGGCCCCTTAAAGGGCACATGAGAACGGTGTAGACTCAACCTGACAGGCGCTGTGCAGCTGTGTCTTACTGACACGCTCAGATTTGTGTTTTCTCGTGGCATTTATCGGGCAAAATACGACAGAATGCGCCGCTTGGCGAGCGTCCAACGGCTCGTTCCTCTAGAAGAGGCTCTGCCGTGTGTCCACAGTCCGGGAATGGGTGCACAGCGACGCCTCGTTTTACAGGGCGCTCTCAAAAGCGCGCCGGGCGGTCGCCGCTCCGAACGAAAGACGGCGTATTTGGCGCGATAATCGGTGGAAAACGGTGGCAAACGCCGGCGTGAACTTTCGGAGAGCTCAACGGCGCGTTCGGGGAGAGCCTCGGCGAGGGCGTGGGCGAACTTCCAGCGACCGAGCGCCTCGTTGACTATGTGTAAAACGGGCTCTCTTGGAGCGAGTAAAGCACAGGCGTGAGGTCGGCGGCCTGCGGGGCCAGAGCCTGCTCTCTGCTGATGTGCTGTTGTACAAAATGTAAATGAACTTTGACTTGACAAGTGTGAAATAACCCAAATCTCATATGGAAAACATTATTATGTCATTATATTTTACTGTATGGCTCTCCATACTCTATGGCTTTGTGTGTGTGTGGGTGACCCTGAGTGTGAACGCAAAGTGCAGTGGTGTGGGCCAAGTAGGCCACATCTAGGAAAGGCACACACAGAGAGAAGAACCTGTTTGTTCCATTTTAAAACTAAAACGTCTTTGAAGGAGAAAAGAACATACGTAGACAGACCTAGTTGTAACCATATTGAATAGTAGTAATACACAAAGTCAATAAAGTGTAAAAGCCTTAGCCTGATTGTGGCCTTGGCCTGTGAATATATGTTACTTTTTGGTTTAGAAATAATGGAATCATTCTTGATAAGAAAAAAATAATGACGTTAACAATGATGTGAACGATAATAAAAGAAACTTTGTAAGGTTTGGATATAATGGTATTCGAAGTAGTCATGAAAGTTGGAGATAATGGTGTGTAACCATTTGGGATGGGCAAGGAGGGGTCATCACCTTACTCTGACCTCAGCAACGGTCAAGGTCTTGCCCTAAATCTACTTTCACTTTAACTAATTTCACCATAAACCTCAAAAAAGGCCTAACTCTAAATTTACTATTACTCTAAATACATGTTAAGCTTGAGGGCTAGATGTAAGACAAATTTGGCCTACTCTAACTACAACATGAGCTTAAAGCCTAGTTCTGTACCTGATTTAATTTTATAACTTCATCATAAGTCTATTGGAGCACTATAAATTTCAGTTTTCACTCACTCTAAAATGGCAAAATAATATTAAAAGAATACGTAAGTAAACAGGTCTTACAATAACAAATGTGCACACAATGTTATTCAATTTTATTCACAAATACACGCATGCATGTCAAGAAAAGAAAAAAAAAGATAAATAAAGAGGTTTAGAAGCATTATAACTCAAAACAAAGCCTGAATGTTTCCTGTATTCAAATTATAGCTCCGCCCTTCTGAATGCAGGCAAGCGATCATTGGACAACAATCAATCGTTCGATTTGCGGGCAACGCCCAGCCCCCAGCCCCCAGCCCCCAGCCCCCAGCCCCCAGCCCCCAGCCCCCCCCCTTCTCTTCCCAGCTCAAGACTTTTCCTTTGTTCGCCTTCCCGCGCATTCCTATCTACTGTGTGCCATGTATAATACATACGTTCCTATCAGTTATACGATTATGAACTCACGAAAGCGCATGAAATATATCACATATTTTCGGCACAATGTAAGGTTTAAAAGTGTGACTGTGTGTGTTTGTGTGTGGTAGGACGCACTCTGTTCTTTTTTTTTTAATCTATTTAGAAAACTTTTTTAAAAGCTTTTTCTTTTTCTTGAATGCTTTGAGACTTTCCCCGTTGTGAGACTACTGAAGGATTATTTTGATTCTGAAATTAAAAGATTAAAATATTTTAAACTTTATTAGGGGGGAACGTCCAGCTAATTGAAGTTTTCGCCCCCACTCCTTTCCCAGTTATTTCAGTATCAAATTAAGGTCATGCCGTCAGTGTTTAAGAGGTAAAATCATTAGCAAGTCGGAATGCAATAAAAGTCTGCTTTTATCACTACATGATCATAAGGAAAAACTCTTCTGGTGGGTCTGTGGGGGGCTCTTAAAAGAGCCGTTGGGTTTGTCGTTGTTCGAGTCGAGCGTTTAGCCTCCGAAGCCGTACAGGGTTCGTCCCTGACGCTTAAGGGCGTAAACCACATCCATGGCGGTGACGGTCTTCCTCTTGGCGTGCTCGGTGTAGGTGACGGCGTCCCTGATCACGTTCTCCAGGAACACCTTGAGCACGCCGCGGGTCTCCTCATAGATCAGACCAGAGATACGCTTGACACCGCCACGGCGAGCCAGACGGCGGATAGCTGGCTTGGTGATGCCCTGGATGTTATCGCGAAGCACTTTGCGGTGACGCTTAGCGCCTCCTTTACCGAGACCCTTTCCTCCTTTCTTTTTTTCTTTAGTTAGCAACAATTCAACATATAAACAGACAGAGCATAAGAAAGACAGCATATACATACACATACCTTAACACCTTACAATTCAAAAATGTCCCACAAGTCAGCGTCCCCGAATGGCGTGTTCAACGTCCGCAGTCTCTTTAGTTCAATTTTAATTTGTTTAAAAACGTCTCTGCTGGACACGAATTGTTGGTCTATGGTCATCCGACATCTTGTTTTCCAAAGTTTAGACTTTACAATAGCGATGATAAACCACAAGAACTTATGTTTCCTATTATCTACTTTTTCATCAAAAATCCCATATATTATAGATTCCATATGTATATTTATTTCTAAACCCATATCCTTAACCATCTCCCACACTTCTTGAGAGCGATAACAGTTGAATAAAAAATGGTCTAAAGTCTCTTCTTCTTCTTGGCAATTTGGCATGGGGCATAAAGTGGTTTTCACAAAGCAGCTCCATCTTACTACAGCTCTCACTGGCAACCTTTTTACGACCATCAGCCATTTCTTCTACCAGACATACTGCTTAGCTCTTTACTTAATGGTTGCAAAGAGAATCAATGGCAAATGGAGCGCTGTACGTGCCTGTTATGCTCCTCTACAGGACCTAGTTGAAACCAAGGAACGGGAGGCGGAGCCACGCACAACAGACGCTGCAGAGAAAACAGCAACAAGCAAATACTGCCATGAAATAAATAACTCTCGTATTATTATAACTATCACTATTACCAATACTTTTATTAGTGGTATCATTTCACAGCCTTCTAAGTCGCATGTGCTTTTAATTTGTCAAAAACTGTCCAAAGTACAAAAGTAAGCATAACAAGCAGGAGAAAAGAAAGAAAGAAAGAAAGAAAGAAAGAATTGTAATACAGCTCATCTTAATTTAAGGGAAAAAAAAGCAGAATGACAAGTCAAAGTGGGCTCGTCTAGGCTGGTCTAAATGTAAAAATAGATAGATAGATAGATAGACAGAAAGACCTTTAGCATTGTGATTGTAAATGCTGAACTACTGTATGAAATTATGTGGTTTGATTGTTGTAATTACTCTAAAATTATTGTCACTTTATTCTCATTATCTTTACGCAGCTTCACAAACACAGTAATTCAAGTCACTCAGCAACACAATATTTCCATGTATGAAAATTTCTCTTTTAAGCTCCATCGATGACAAATCACCCTCAGGCCAAAACACCTGGGGCAGACGTTCTGCATTGTTTTCTGCACTCTGATCAGAAAAAAAATAATTAAACTATAATCTGGGTGCTGCCATGCAGCTAGTATAAGTTTAGGTCCCATGTGTCAAACACAAGGCCAGCAGGCCAAGTCAGGCCCATGATACGGTTCTATACGGCCCACAAAATCATTTTAATTTTCTATTCTTATTAGCCTGTTTCACGCTGAGATGAACTACAGTCCCCTGCATGCACTGTATCATAGTGTGTGTTCTGACTCCCTTCCCCCAGGAAGAATCTCTGGGCCAGTGGTTACACACAAAGAAAAGATCCCTGGTGGCTAGTTCAAACAAATAGGCAGCTTTAAAAAAATTAGTTTTATTTAGAATTATTAATAATTATCTTCGGTTCTGAAATCTGATTGGCTGTGCTGCGTTTGAAGTCACTGTAAAAATACTCTATTACTATTTCTTTCTGTTTTTCACACCTGTATCTCTCTCTCTCTCTCTCTCTCTCTCTCTCTCTCCTTCAGGACACTACCTGAGTGACTGCTCCAGCCAGTCAGATTCATGCTGGCTGTCATGTGATGACAGGAAGGTCACCTTAATGATGGAGGAGCAGGTTGCCCAGCGAAGGCAGAGTAGTGCTTATTTGTTACTGTATGAGAGAAAGTAATTATTGTGTGTAACTCATGTCAAGTTTTTCCTTGCCACTGTTGCCCTAGGCGTGCTCACTGGGGGCTTGGGTCGAGGGGAAATGTCCTTCTTCTGATTACTATACTCTACAGAACTCTATGACTCTATGGAACAATGTGAAGAATATCATTCAATCTAATGAGAAACTGCTGTGCACAACAGAATTTGGTCAAAATACCTAAATTTGGAGTGAGTTATTAATTTCAAATGATATTAATTTTGCAAGCAGTTTAATTACATTACTCAGTAAAATTTTCATTAATAAATAAAACAGTACTTTAGTTTTCAATTTACTTGCATTTTTGTCTCTTTTGTTTTTAATCAAGGACTATTTGTTGTTTTGGTAATGAATGATAAAACATGCTTGTCATGTATGAAGAGTGATGAGGCTGTATGTAGTTGAAAGCAAACTTCAATGAACAAAAAAAACAAAAAAACAAAACTAGAACAAAGACTGAGAATGATAGCAAATAACAAACTACAAGACTTTTAACCAAGAAAAAAAAACACAGAGCAACCCAAACACAGGGCAGACAGGCAACAATTACATACAACAAAACATGC